TGTTGATCGATATAAGTTGATGGACCAATACGTCAAACATCAACAGTAACAGCCACGACTACTACTACTACTAATACAACAAAAGCAAAAAGAACAAACTTCAAGAAGCACTCATTATGCACTACACTCATGAGAACCGATTTACAACCATGAAAAAAGATATGCATGAAATATTCCGCGACTCTTTTAAAGATCTAGGCGTAGAAGTTGTACGACTTATTGTCAGTCATAGAAATAGTACGTCATCGGCAAGTGAATTCATACGAAAGTAACCACATGGTAAACACCTTACATTAAAATAACAACGAAGTAAGGAGAACTCCTTTCATCCGTATACACAACCAACAATTATTATCTACCCACACGAATAAGTCATCCTTTCTTTCTCTTATAGAATTGAATGACAACACAACAAACGAAGACAGAACTACTGCACAATATCATGCAACATGAACCCAACAATTTTGAATCACTACAATCGAACCTAAAACCCTCAGCCTAATTTTTCTCTTATCTTATTTCTTCTCCCATTGTGTATCTATTAGTTCTTCCATAACTCAGACTAGCAACTAGAATAATAAACTCACATTATCCTATTTTCTGACCATCCATAAAAACCGCATCTAAAATAATTCCAATTTCAGATAATAAGCATTAACCAACTGAAAACAATCTCTAAGGCAACGATTTCACACTGAATGAAACATACTAATCTCAGCTAAACCACACCCAACCGAAACATACAAATCAAACTCCAAACCACTACAAGATGGATATTGCAATAAAAATATAACAACACAAAAAGCACAAGACATCAAATGTCGACATCATGGTAGCTATACGCCCTACCGAAAATTGTATCTATCATACCTTTGTGCTACAGTATAGATTCAAGGTTGTTTCTGATTCACTCGTGGATCGAAATGTCTGCCATGTGAAGATTCTCGTTGCTGAGATGAAATGCCGATATCATGATAGATATACATACCCACTCTTTGCTACATCTCGATGTGGATGATTGTCCCTTGTGTGTAAAAGTTTCACACTCGCTTAAGCTCCAACCGGCTGATTCCTTGTTGCGCGTGCGAATATAATAGCCATTCTTGTAATCAAGTCAAAGTGATTTATTTGAAGGAGGGGAAAGAAAAAACAATCCATCATAACGAATTTACTCGATAGTAAATTGTTGAACTCGACTATTCAAACGGTCGGCGACATACAGATTACCATGGCGATCAAAGGACAAACCTGTCGGCAAGTTGAACTGATCAGCTCGCGGGCCTTTATCATTTCCACCCACAATAACAGTGCCCTCTTTCGCTCCTTTAGGCCAACGCATAACTCGATGATTATATGTGTCTGCCACATAGACGGTATCCAACGTATCGACGAACAGTCCGTTAGGATGCCGCATTTGTGACAGAGCATTCTGGTAGCCTTGAACCCCAGCGACGATAATTCCTTCTGTTGCACCTTTATTCCATTTCATCACACGATGATTGTTGTTGTCTGACACGTATACAGTTTGTTGTTGATCGACAAAGATGTAGGTAGGTTCGTTGAGTTGATTGAGAGCAGCACCTTGGCCATGGCCACCAGCCACAACCGTTCCATGCTTCTCTCCTATTTCATATCGTCTAACTTCATGTTTTTTCCAGTCAGGAACATAGAGACATCTGTGAGCATCCATAGTCAACCCCCAACAAGCGATATTGTCCATAAGGATTTCTCCTTGAATGGTGCCACTAGAACGAGACCATTGTACGACTCGACTATTATCTCGATCACAGATAATGAGTCTATCCGTCTCGTTATCGATCAAAACATCGGTTGGATAATTCAATTGATTCAGTCGACTTCCGTTGTCATGGCCACCAGCTACCACTTGTCCGATCTTATCACCCATTTTCCACTGCATAATACGCTGGTTCCATGAGTCAGCGATGACCATCGTTTGATCATCATCAATGGAAAGACCATAAGGGTAGAAGAGTCGATCAGCAGCAGAGCCAGGGCCAGGGCCTCCAGCAACAGTCGTCCCATTTTGTGCCCATCGCGCATTGGTAGGAATATTGGGAACCACTATAATGAACGGGGGAAAGAAAAGACATGATCATTGTCGTTGCCTACGAATAAATCTTTCTTCTTCGAAGAGAACTTAGTAAAACTTTCGACGATGTATTTCCCTAACATATTCTAAAGAAGCAAAGGTTTTCGCCCGCAAAATACAAATTGCGAAACCTCTTTCTAGCTTCCTATAGCAAAAAAACAAACAAATTCATAACAATTCTTATAAGAATCCGTGTTTGAAGTGACTTCTCCTAGTTACTCCCCAAATCTTTGAGATCCTTGGAAAGAAATTTCTTGGTAAAACGTGTTTTTGACTTACTGAGAAGACTGATCCTAATCCTAAGCGAGTTCTCAATAGGAAAAGATAGGGATTGGAGGACTTTATTCGTTGTTTCTGACGCAGAAGTTTATCGATAATAATCGGAAACGGTACCAACGAGATTAAATCCTTAAAGGTTTTGCGTTTTAGGAATGAAATTACGAACCCTGTAAGTCTCCTCAACTGAAAAATGCCAAGAAGATTCTATCAGAATCTTGTTAGGATAATGTCAAGAATGAGGATTTCGATTGCCTGGAAAACAAATATGTATGGTCAACAGTAGATATGTTTCAGGATATTTTTCACTTGTGTTTGAAAAAAAATCCTGATGACATAATTTTCTGGACGATAAAATGCAAATCCTCTGAACTATCCCGTAAAGATTAGCATGCAGTATAGAGTTCTGACTCTATTAGGTTCTTGCAAATTTATGCCAAACTGTTGGAAGGATGACCATGATACCATCTTAGCAAGATTACCAGAAAGCTTGTATACATAGGAAATTGAGGAAATTTAACCGGATTCCATGAGAATTCTTTGGAATCTGACGCCTTTTACTTATGAAATACTGGCAAAACTAATGCTGATCTTATCCAAGATCTTCATAGGGAAACAACAATTTAGTTAGTTTTCAAGAAGTACTAGATTAGGACTTTTTTCTCATACGGAAAGCAGAGTCTCACTCGGAGAGGGGTAAAATAGGTGGGCAACAGTGAGCTATCATCAGGTTTTTGAAGAAAACCTGAAACAAAGCATCATCTGAAAATACTAGAAGGGTTTCTATGAACTCTAGACGAGTATCTTAGATATAAAATCATGAACCGTGTCCGAATTCAATGGCGAAAAATGCTGAGATTGTAGCTGCATCTTACTAGAATGGTGATGTTAAATATTTGAGCTAATATCTTGATCTTCTTAGAAGAATCTCAGAACAAAGAATTTGCGAACGCATGCAAGTAAATGTCCAACCTATTCCTTGTGCATTTTCGGAATCTTAAGGAATGATTGTGGGTGTGGATGGATATTGGACATATCACAATAGCCATAAAGTGTTGAGGTATTCATGTTGAGTGGTTTTTCATTATTGTTACTTGCCGAAAAGTTTCATTCACAAAAAAGGGTTTTTTGAGAAAATAACGATGGTTTATAAAGTTTAACCGAAAGTTTTCGGGGTCGGGAAATCTGAATTAGCAATCCGATCTTCAAAATTGTGTACTTGATTTCTTGATTAAGTAAACTTTATCTGGAAACCTATGATTAAATTCAATATAAATCATTATTTTCTCAGGATCCCTGTTTTAAGTCAAAAAATCAAGTGCAGAATTTCGAAACTCTATTTGCAGATTCAGATTTCCAGATCCTGAACACCTTTGGTGAAACTTCATAAAAAATCGTTGTTTTCTCAAAATACACTTTTTACTGGAAATTTTTAGGGGTGTGATGATACCGCCCACGGAGAGATTTTTTTTAGAAAAACCGCTCGAAACCGCGGTTGGTCGCGGTATTCATCGATTTCAGAAACCGCGGTGTACCGTCGCATAACCGCAGTATTTGTTACCGTATTTTTACTGCTGACAATTGCAGTGTGGCCGATGCTTATAGCACTATGATAGAATGTGTAGGGACTAAGAAGATGTCGTGCTTCGCTATTTTCATGAAACTCTTGAATAAGTTTTCTCATTCTGTCTCTCACTCCAAAGCAACTTTATGGTAATGCAACTTAAAAAGTTCACTATAGGGTGGGTGTCGGTTGAGTAAATATGAACGCCCATATCCACACCCACACCTACACTCAAACCCTTGAAGGAACTCACTGGTTACTTGACGACATAGGCTGATTTGAACCGATTTTTTCTTGATCAAGTTCAGCTTGGTTCGGTTGGAACTCAGTTTTTGAAAATCAGTTCGAGTTAGGTTCTGTTCGTTTTCGGTCTCTGATACCTTGTCATTCTCATACAATGACTCAAACCAGCATAATATTTATCTTACTTTTCTTTCCTAGACAACGGGCAAGTTGATTGATCAAATTTTGAGTTGTTTGATTAAACTTTCTTCGCTCATAGGCAATGGTGCTGTTCAACTGCTCTAAATAGAAAAATACAGGGGTCTGAGAATTTTATTCATAATCGTAAATGCAGAATCTTTTTGCCATTTTCAGAAACTGTATCAGCAAGGCTATATCCTTGACGACTTTCTATGAACTCCAGACATGGATTTATATAATAAAATAATGAACTCTGCCACACTCCAACGCTGTGAACGTGTTGAGAAGGGTCTGTCTGAATCCTGCTAGGAGGGCCTCATGAATGTGGGTTTTTCATCCTTGACAAACGAATGTGCATCGTAAACAGTGTGAATTTCGGAAAAATCTAAGAATCCAATATTAATATTTCAAGATGTTTTTATATGGGGCAACAAAACGCTTGATCATGTTATTTTCTCCATTATGATTGCAAATCTTTCCAAGAATCTCACCAATATTCGCATATGAGATGCATACGAGATTATATTAGGTTTATGAGAAGTTATATCAAGCTTTTTCAAGAAAGATCTTGATAGGATTTAAGCAAGATCATTAGAAGATTTGGAGGCATGTGAAATTGACTAAAATTTACAGAAATTCACACGGACCTTTGGAAACTGACACCACCTACTGAGGACAACTCTTCCTCAACTGTATGGAAGGTGATAAGAAATAAAACGAGTTTGTGGCTATGTTTCTATGTTTGCTGACATATGTATAGTGATATGGACAGGTATTCGTGAATGCTTTAAAAATATTAAAAGAATGAGATTCATCGTAATGAAGACTCGATCAATCAAATGATTTCACTATTTAGTCCGTCCATTTTGGTTTTTCATGCTGCGAATTGAAACTGTAGGTGCGGCTCTTCTCTTAACGCACTCAGCACACACACCCAATACAGATCTGGATTACATTTTTAACTTTGAGAAAACTAATATTTAGATGAGTTAATCGAATAAATGATAGAAAAAGGCATCAACTACATAAACAAAAGAAAAAGAGTAATCTGGCTTCATTAAGAATGCCGTACTTTTTATAATCGTTAAAAAGTGATTTGGTATTCTTCTAACGAGGGAACTATCCGAACTGTTATTCGCAAATTCAATCGAGAGTTATCCTAATCAATAGAGCTCGACAAGCTGATTCCTATGATGCAAAGCGTTCTTCCGCATGGAACCTTTAACTAGACAAAATCAATCAATGGTATTCGTGGAAGATCACATTCGAGATGTTGAAGATTGAAGTGTTACATGCATTAGTATATGATAGATGAAACTTCATCATTAACTCCTTAATTTTGGTTGTATATTGCTACTTGAACAGACTAAGAACTGCTCAACAACGTCTTGATCTGTATGTTACAATTTTGCTATCATTCAACATATACATCATCTACGCATTATACCATGAAAAACGTCAATAATTCTGACTAAACATTATGGTTTGAACACTTTTTAATGTTTTACCGATATCATTTATTCTGTGCTGGATTTCACGGAGTAAAGCGTGCGAAAAAAAAGGAACTTTGATATTGCCATACTCAGAAAGTAACAGCCGGTAACATTTAAACTACATACATGTAGAATAATGCTCTAAAACGATTAATGATGCCTGTCATAGCAAGATGCGTGAATGATGCATATGCTTAATGATAGCAACATTGTAACATATATGTTAAGACATCGTTGAAGAGCTTTTAGTCTATCAAGTAACGATGTACAACGAAAAGTAAGAGGATCAATGATGAAATGTCATCTGTCACATACTAATGCATGTGACACTTCAATCTTCAACGTCTCGAATGTGATCTTCCACGAATAGAATTGATTGCTTTTGTCTAGTTAAATGTTCCACGAGAAAGATCACTTTATACCATAAGAATCAGCTCGTCGAGCTCTATTGACTAGAATAACTCTCGATTGAATCTGCGATTAACACTACGGATAGTTCACTCGTAAGAGACCGGAGCTATTTAATAATAATAATATCAACATTAGGTGTGTTCATGTAAACACAAGTAATTGAACTCCGAGTTTTGCTTTAAAACTAATGCAGAGAGACGACTTCATCGAAACGGATTAAACCACTTCAAAAAGAATGCGACAAAAACGAGTGACTGTTGAACATAGTAGAGCACCAAGTGATGCATCAATGCACTTTAATTTCAAATTATACGTACAAGTCATTTTTCAAACATATATATCTTATTTTTCATTTCGATACTACTTAAGTTCTATAAGACATCGAAATTAATGTGATATTAATGTTATTGATAAATCTCAGGAAGATTCCTGATGCCTACTATTGAAATGCTCAATTTATTTGATAGAAAATTAATGTAAATAATCCTAATATTCCTGCCCATCCAAACCGTGAGTACCGTAAAAATCGAATATCTCCTTCTAGGCAAGCCAATAACAGCTAATATTTTAACCATATTAGTTTGGTGGTGAGAGCTTTCATTTGACCCGAATATGCCTAATCGTTTTCACTGACAACACAAACACCTCCATTGTTAGTATAAATAATCTTGGCTACAGTAAGATCGTGTACATGCCAAATAGCATAGGCTTAAGGGCTCCTCCTCCCCTTTTTGAACCCAAAATGTCCAAATTTTTCGTTTATTGCCTTATCTACTCTGCATGTACTTGCAAGTGCCTTCTGTCTACTGGTGACATTTTGAGAACTCAAATATAGCTCTAAAGCAAAAATAAGACCGTAAAGATCAGCCGATTGCCGTAGGAATATAGCACGATTTTTTCTTTCTTTCGCGGTTTTCTAGAAATCAGGTTTTTTAGCAAAAATCTTCAGAAACGTGTCCGTTTCTGAGGCACAGTACATCCGATCAGACTGAATCTTTTTTTATAGATATTAGAGACACTTTAGCGTTCCTACTTTTTTTTATTTTGAAAAATAGTGTACCGCTGATTTTTGCCAGGTCTCACGAGTCAAGGACTATTCAAAAAAAATATACTTTTTTAGGGTACTCTTCGTATTTGAGTTTTTTTATTCGAATGATACGAGATAGAAAGAAACCAAAAAAATAGCCACCTTAAGGGCACCCACCCCCTTTTCGGGATTTCTCGACAACGGCTCGACCAAAAATTCTGAAACTTTCAGGGTAGATAGATCTCGACTAGTAGAGCAAAAGTTGTCAGAGACTCAGAAATTCCAGATGCTCCCTTCTATGCGATACAAGGGGTGCAAGAGCCAAAATGACCTGAAGTTTTCCCCCTTTTTCTCCGAGATGCTTCGACCGATTGAGCTGAAGTTTTTTGTGTGACAACTAGGACCAAATCGGGGTGTATGTTTTTTTTTCTTTGAAAAATATTGTTTCCTTCGCTTAGGAGAACCAAAATACTGGAATCCCTATCAAAAGACACGTTTTTTTGCCTAGGGCAAATTTTGAAAGATCTGCCAAAATTCACCAGAATATTATTTTAAGAAACAAAAAAAGATATACACCCCGATTCGGTCCTAGTTGCTACACAAAAAATCTCAGTTCAACCAATTGAAGCGTCTAGGAGAAAAAGGGGGAAAACTTCAATTTTTCTCTAAAAATATTGATCTCGAGAAAAACACAATACAATGTAATGCGACATTTTGTCGATATTTTGCGTTTTTCATTTCTTCATGCATAGCTATCGATTAAGGCACTTGCAAAGTGACTAGGATGATGCATTCATGACCCATACAACATATTTTGATGATGAAGTAACTATAATAGTATAGCCCCATTCACTAGAAGAAAGCGCTGTAGAATGTGATTTTTTTGTATAGGAGATCTTCAAAGTCAGTTTTTTTAAGGACTTAAATAACAATGAAAACTTTTCGTTCATATGGCATTCGATAGAGGACACTTAAGTGTGTTTTAGATACAAAAAGCCGAAATCGAAAAAAGTGAATTTTTGGGGCCGGGAAAGGGGGAGGTGCCCTTAAACAGTGTCTTGTATCTGTAAAAACATTTCAGCTCAAATAAGCACACACCCTCAGAGAAATGGGGGCGATTATGGGACCCATTTTTGGTCCTTGTGATCTCTATATCTTCCTAAAGGAAGCACAGGAGAATTTTGAGTGTATGACAACTATTGCTCTACTCATTGAGATCTATTTTCTCTGTGTCTTCTATGATGTGGCTTGTGACTAAGATACAATATTAGTCGTGATAGTCTGAATTCCAAATATATTCTTGGAGAAAATCTCAAATAGGAGTATTTAAAAACTAGACAATACTCGCTTTTCTTGAAAACTAGCCTATTTTTGGACACTTTCCACAGAATCTCCCATTTAATTATCGAGAATGCTTTTTGTCTACGACTTTTTTAGATTTCTCACAGTTAATTGGTCGATTTTTTACTTTCAAAGGATTTTACCGCTGACTCAAAAAGGTCAATGAGTGTATGGCTATTGTGAAGCTTCTTCTATTATACAACGTACGATATTTTTCATTGTAATTATTTATAGAATACTAAATAATCTTCTCTTAGAAATGTATCAGTTTTTTGCATCTCTGTTCAATTTAAATATCAGAATGTCTTGTCATATTTAAAGACATCGAAATACTTGAAGTTGAAACCAAATGTCTTCATTCGATCTCCGATCTTATTAAGGAATATTTTTTGTGAAGTTACATTAAGTACTATTTGTAAAAGACGAAAATTCAGCTTCGTTTCACTGAATACAATCCTCTGAAAACTACGAATGTAATCAAGGTGTCAAACAACTTCCAACTCTCTCACAGCAAGAATCGTTTAGTATTCAGACAGAGAAAGCAAGCATCATTAAGTATCAGAATTGACGTTCTGGTCTTCATTCAACTCACTTTCTCAGTTTGTCAACCGAGTTCTTAGCACTTATTTCATTCATTTCTCTCATGTTTTTCGGTCAAGCACGCTCACACCTAACAGTATGTGAACCGCTCATATTTCTAGTACCTGTATAAGCGCTACCTCTTTAAATGAAAGTTACTCATTCGGAGGGTTATCTCTCGATAGCAAGACAAAATATGTGATCAAATACATCGATTTCTTGTCTAACTGAAAACACGCCAGCTTTTCGCATAGTTTGTCGAAATCAAAAGCAAAACCATAGGTGCAATGTTTCATTGCAGCTAATTGTATTCGTCTATGAACACAGAAAGGCATAAAAAGTAGAAGAAGAGAGTTGACTTCGGCTTAATGAATGACAATCGGACTAGACGACGCATGTTCATCAATAGAAAGTCTAATTTTACAGATTTCATTCATTGAGACTTATCTCTTTTGGAACTTACACTTTCAACACTAGACATGTGGCATAAGGCTCGAATGGCATCGGTATTCAACTCTATTAGTTCCAGAAAGTTACCAGAATATGACATAATTTTTGACGTTAGAGGTGTCTAGAGTAGAATGAGGTTGCATTGTTCTCTTTCGTGATTGACTGTGTTGAAGTGCGATCGGATTAAAAAGTTTACATTTCTTCCTTGAATAAATGAATGTTCACGGAAATAACTCAAAAATAATGATTTTTTTGTAATGCTACGAATGGTTTCTCATCATAATCACAATGGAAAATTTTCCAACTAACCACAAATCAGCTATTAGTTTACTTTATGAAAGTTATTCGGTCTCAATGCATGAATCTAGAGACTCATCTGAAATAAATTTCCTCTTGTCTACTTACTTGCCCAGAGATAAATCGCTAATGAAAAGCTCAACAGAATCAGAATACTGCTGATAAGTAGAATCCATTCAGGAGTGTTCAAAGGTCGTTTGCATATCGGATAGGTCCATCGAGATCCAGGACTGTGCTCCTCCATTTCGCTATGTATAGATAGTGATGAACGTGGCGGTTTGTTTTTGAGCTTTAGATCTGTAATCGAGGTCGAACGATCTACAGTCGAATTTGGATCAGATGGGATGCGAATCAGTCCTGAAAGAGAATTTTTGATTGAAAACAAGATAAAGCTTCCTATTGATACAAACTAGCGAAAGCCATTTTATCCTCATCGCTGTTGTCGAGTAAAAGAATATCTTGAAGTGAGCAACTTCGTTGACTAAAATGCTCCAATGCTAACTGATATTCTGAAAAAAGTAACATAAAAAACTGGTTAAATGTGAGTCTTGATGAGAAACAGAAAAAACGAACCTTGAAGCCGTTTTGCAGCATCATTACAACCTATTGTCTTGAATGCTTTAATAAGGTAATCACAATCTTGAGCGTTGATTATTGCCTTGTCGAAAAGAGATTCCAGTGCACGAAGCGCTCCAATAAGTGGTGGATCATCACGCACATATCTGGGAACGTCTTCACCAAGAAGAAAAAGAAAACGAAGTCGATCGTTGTCGGATAGACGATCTTGTATTTTGAGCAGTAATGCCCGAAAATCAAATTCTCCACTCATCTGATAAAGAAAATCATTTTCTACAAAAAAACAATAATAGAATATCAATTGATATACATTTTCACTGAGACCGATTAGTCAGCTATGTCTACCATGTGTACAGCTTGTATAAGACAATGTCAGATAATGTAGAAGAGGAAAATAGTAAGAGAATATATGATACAATTTTTTCATGTCTCGTGGAAGAAACAACACACAAGATAAGTACCATGCTCGAAGAAAAAGAAAAAGTAACGAAGTAATGAGAATACAATTAGTAAGATTGTTTAAACTCAATACTAGTTATATACTAGTGTCTGTACTTCGGCGATTCTTTATATTCATGAATCTCCCCGTCAACAAGCTCCATTGTGCTTACATCTGTTCAAAGGTACTTTCTCCCGTTTTTTTCGATAGAAAGGTCGATTGTGAGTTAGTTGTTACTACGGTTAGAAGTTCGCTGCTACACTCGTCTTTTCTTTTATCTATTTCAGATCTTCTTTCAGTCGTTGGTGTCAAAGAAGAAAATATGCCTAGACAGAACCGATAAATATTATCTGTACTGGAGAAAGAAAAGCAGACCATCATAGAACGAAAGAATAACCTAGGAGAAATATTACAACAGTCGTATACAACGGAATACGACTTGTATACGACCACCGCAAACGATGGTACACCATCTTATACAATGTCGACTGTCATCGTATTCCACACAAGCTTTTGCTACTTCTCTGCTCTCACCTTCCTCTCACTCTACAAAAAAAGAAAAAAGTAATCGTTGCAGTGTCCAGGGAGACTAGAGTCTTCAATCTTTTTTTTCTTATGCAGCTTCGATGGTAAATCAGCGTATTCTTTCGATCTATCATCAAAACTGCATAGGCAAAAAAGAATTTTGACCTCTAGCCAAATTGGACATACCCATTTAATGAAATTGATACTTAACTGTTTCATTTATCCTTTTTAATAACCTACAAAATAAAAGCTAAAATTTATTTACTCTCAAACTAACAAAATAAAGGACAAGTGGTGTTAAAACCGCTTTCTTTCCCACAGAATATTTCGATTTCTCGCACTAAAATTAAGTCAACAGAGACTTCTAATGATATTTCAAAAGTTTATTTTGATATATGTCTCAATCGATTTTTCGACCTATACCCGTACTCGTCTACGGTGGTGTTAAAAATCGATCCTATCCATCCCTGTGTGGAAGTACGGGTATAGGTCGAAAACTCGATGGAAAGATATTTCAAAATAAACGTTTAAAATATCATTAGGAGGCTCTGTTGATTTGATTTAAACACAAAATACCGAAACATTTCGTGAGCAAGAAAACAGCCTTAACGCCACATGTCGTCTACTTAATCTGGAAAACAACAACTAAGCTTTATTTAATCTAAAAATAAAAAATCAAATTCATCAAATAGCAAATTATATAAGAGAACAATTAGTCTTAGATCTAATCTCATGTAGCATACTACTCTGTGCTCGAGTCTAAAATAAAAAAAATAAATTGATCAAAAATGATTTTAGGCTCATTCAAAACTGGAGATTTTATATTATCTAACTAATTTCTATTCGATAAGGAATATCTCTCTTTACTTCATGACGAATTACTCATTGATAATAACGACTATACACTATAGTACTATCTGAATGTTTCTCTATCCATATAGCTGAATATTATATGAAATCAAAACAGACACATGTCGCACGTTTCTTCTCAATACCACCAGTATACCGCGGTAGTCGTAAGAACCGGCGGTGTACTGTTGGTACACCACCGGTAGCACTCTCAGCTTCCGGCTCCAGGTCTAAATAATTGCAGAGAGCATTTCCTGCTCAAATTCGAATTTACTATTAAAAAGAATCCAAAATTATAGGGAAAAAAATATTTTTACAATTTTTTTCACTAAAAATAACTTTTGCAGTGCCATCTATAATGAAATAGTTGATCTCAGTACTGGGATCGATTTGGGCTGTGTGGCTAGTACAGGTGGCTCAGGCGCATCAACACTATCTGCGGACACCGAATTTCATGAATTTTTCATGGTTTTGTCAGACTTAAAAAATAAAATGTTAAATACGAGACACCTATCTTATGTCAAGAATTGAATATTTGATGGGAAAAGAATGCAGATATATATACATGCGTAGAAAATAAACAGGGTATCTCTGCTACCGTTACAAATATTATTACTGAAGAGCAATATCTCTGTGTGAAAAAACAGATACTTGATCGAAGAAAAACGTAGTACATAGTTTTAGATAAGAGATATATTTGTTTTATTCCTATCAAATAAGTGTCAGAAAAAGAATTTGTTAAGCAATAAATCTGTCTCATACTGATAAAAATTACATGTTTTTAAAATAAGCAACATCTATTTTCTCTTTGTATGAACAGACTGAATAAAAATCATGATCAATCAAACAAAGGGGTGTACACTGAAAAAAAAAGATTCCATACGGAACTTAAAGGGTTCCGTGGTACTTTACTATACTTGAAAAGGTTTCGTTCGCACAGACAAAGCCTCAAAAGAGGTTAGTATCATGCAGAGTTTCGTAAAAAACTTGTTCACGGTTTAGTATTCAGAAAAGCATTTCGTGGTAAACCTTTTCGCGCATCAAAAATCGAAAAGATTTCGTAAAATACTCTTCAAACTTCTTTTCGAAACATGAGCATTAAAGTAGACATACCTGCCCGAACTTCGTTTCTGATCGAGTGGAGTGGAAATCAGTCACTAATTGGTTCACTGCTAATCATATTCTGCATTGAATAAAATATTTCCAATATGCAGCAGTCAAAACAAATCGAAATGGTTGAATTATTTAAAATTATGAAAAAAGGTTACTGTATTGCAATTTGTAATCGCAATAAAAACTAATCGCGTACGTTCTCTGTTGAGGAGCCCAAGTACATTCGCTTAAGCAAAGAGGTTAAACAAAGAGATGGGGATATTCTCGGGGTTGGATTAGGACTCAGGTGATAAGTTAGGGATATAGACATTCACAAGAGGATTAGTTATGAGGTCGGATTAAGGCTGATGGGATCCGTTAGGAGGTTAGATTTGCATTACGGGGATACGTTAACTGCTATCTAGGAACAATCGGTTTCCTAGAAAATCCAAAAACACTCTGAAATTCCTTCTGAAACCTTTAGAGAGTTGAGAGATAGTTTTCGAACGCTACCAACGCTCCTATAAATATATTAATGGTTGTCGAGGGTTCGGAAACGATTAGGTTCCCTAAAAAACCGATTTCAACACTCTTAAAGTATTTTAGAATCCCTTTTTCTTGATATTAGAAACCTAATCGTATTTTCAGAAACCGTCAAGGTAATTTTTAAACTTATATCGTCAAAAAACTAAGTCCAAGACTTATGAGGTATGCGGAAATACCCTTTCGGCTTCTGAAATGTTGCTCAGGCAAATCAACGAGTTTCCGAGTATACTCAATCTTGAAAGCGTAGGATAACGAGCCAAAAACCGACCCTGAATTTTTATCTCATTCAACAAAAGGTTTTTAAAGCTTTCAATGTTTTCAGAATTTTCTGGAGAATGAAAAAGATTACAGTTCTCAAACTTCTCAAAAGAACATTTCAGTACTCCAATTTTTCTTTTACATCTTCGTCATTGCTTTGCTTCAGATTTATTTATTGAACTGAAACTGCTGACAATATTAAGTATAACCGATTTTATCAAGAATCTTCACTCTAAAAAAGATAGGTTTCTTCCCAAACTTCCGAAAAAGGTTCGGCAGATTTGAAAAAGCATCCAACTGCCACCAGAGGCTTGAAAAACGATTCTTCAGTTCCAGGAAACCTTTAAAGGTTCCTCCCCCGGCTACACGGGAAGAACCTTCAGCTACGAAACCTTTTTTTCAAGTTCCGTACACCAGAAAAAGGTTTCGTAGAACTGAAGAATCATTTTTCAAGCCTTTGGAGGCAGTTGAATGCTTCTTCAAATCTACCGAGCCTTTTTCGGGAATTTGGTAAGAAACCTATTTTTTTAGAGTGTTCCCTTCAATGAACCATTTTGCCTTCCCAATCTGAAACCATTTTAATTCGATTCAAATAACGTTCTGTCATCTTTATGTTCTTGAACTGTTCTCGATTTCAAATACAATTCGATATGATCCAAATGGTAATTTACAGTTCAATCATAACAAACACTATTTTCTCATTGTCTTTTATAAAACACGATCTGAAAGGAGCGTTGAAGTATATAGGGTAGAAATTTGGAGCCCCCCCACTCCCCACAGACCGTGACAGATAAAATCCATACTCATCACAGACCGTGACCGACAGGCTCCAGCGGTCATCATAGACTGTGATAGAAGACTTCAAGGAAATATAGAAGATAATGCATAACTAACATATGATTGGAGCATATATAGAGTATTATCATGTTCAAGCTGTATAATGTAAAGAAGGCCATGATGAAGAAATATACCCCAATATGCATAAAAAGCAATAGTTTTTAGAAGATTGGCAACAGCAGCTGCATCGTGTTTCACATTTTTAATCCCGCAAGGGATTGCGCCAACAGCTTTTGTTTTAGATTCTTACTGATATGATCCAAATAGTAAATTAGAAGATAGATATAAATAATTGGTAGACTAAGGTTAAGAGGTTAAGCTACGGGAATAGATTAAGGGTTATTAGGTTAGGTTAGGGGGATAGATTAAGGCTAGGGGGTTAAATTGGGGGAATAGATTAAGGTTAAGGGAATAAGTTAGGGGACAGAAATGTATTAAACAGATAAGTAAATAAGATAGATATCGATTGTATGAATCTCTGCCAGAGACTACACATAAGGGGTTGCATGAAATAGAATAAATGAACAGCGAAACAGATAGGTTTATCAGTCCCAATTGTGAGAGCGCAGATCGAGTGCATTGGGACCGTGACGAAATTTCAACTACGAATCCATTTTGAGTGTGAATTGAAGACAGTTTGGTACAGAACCATATTTTTACGAAACTCACAAAAGGTTTCGATTTCGTTGCAAATCTCGAAACCATTTCTAAGTTCCGTATGGGACCCTTTTTCTCAGTGAGGTATCACCTTAAACTCAATGTTTCACTCTTACACTTGTTATCAAAAAAATCATATCGAAGATTTTCCGGTACAATACACTCTGAATTTTGAAAACCAAAATTCAACGAAATATGACTTGACTTCTCCATAATCTAATATCTTTTGAGTCTCTTTAAAGCATCAGCTTCATTTCAATTCGATATGATTCGATTACTGCAATGAAAAGGATATGGCTAGATTTTCTTCAAAATAATCAGATCTGAAACCTAGTGTAACAATTTATTGGAATCCGATTATATTCTTCGTGGGACCCTGTCTCGTCCGATTTCTTTCGAACGCAAAATCTAGATGAACACCATAATATGCGATTAATGGATTCGGTCGGGACCAAGTACATATTTTTCAGCATGTTCCCTTTCAGAACCCGTTGGCAAGAAATCCGAGAAAATCCAGAGTGGATACGATCGTGTCCTTATAAAAGACGTCAGTTTCTGACGCAAATCGATATCAGATCCGATATTTTCCTGTAGGAGCATATACTAGATAAGGTCATCAACATGATAGCCAGCTTCGTGTTCGTAACTTCCCAAAAAATCAATGACTTCCGCGTTCGGCTTCTTAATTTTACCGGCGAAATTCTTAGAAGAGATGTTTTTTTTCCGGTCTGGAGATTCTAGAAATTGGTTCAAACTCGGAAGTATACTTATGATGGCGTGTTCAGCGACTGGTTCTGTTCAATAATGGCTGTTTCCCATCACTAGTCGGAAAATTCGGCCAATGGATTCTTGCATATTTTCCCTACTGCCACCACCGGATGGCGTATATAAATTAAAATGTAATTCAGAAAAAATGAATTATAAAATAATTCATAAAATACACTAAAGATTCACCAAATATTAGCTGGTGTTAACATCTATCAACAGAAGTTACCAGGTGCTACCGGTTCTTCCGCTGCATCCACACTTACAAAGATACGGTGTGAGTTCTTCCGTGACATCCACACTCAGAGAGATACAATGTGAGTCTCTACGCGACTCCCATGTCTGGTAATACCTGATAATACTAAAGTAAAACCTCTCTCACTGAACACCCCTCCTTGATGAACAACCTGTGATACTGAACACCCTCAGGATTCGCCGAGCGAATTTTGCTGGTTTTGAACCCCTCCTGCATGAACACCCCTTGATTCTGAATGTGAACGCATTTTCATGGTCCCGAGTGTATATATTGACCTTATCAATGTGAACATCGATAGAGAGCGTCACTTAAATAAAGTATATAATTGGAGCTGTAGAAGTAATTATCATGAATATGATTGGTTCCAAGATTCTATACAATGAAAACGAAGAAGAGAATTAAAAAAGGATAGACACAAAGGTGTTATTTTATCTTCTTCAATAATCGTCCATATTTATTCTTCAATAAAATATGACCTCTCGAAATGATCTTAATTTAGAACAAAAAATTAATTTAATACGAGAGAGTGAACATGGTTTGTCCTATCGAGAATTAAAGGACAAATTTCAAATTTCTATTGGGGCCGTATCTAATATTCTTAAAAGAAAAAATGAATATGTAAATGATTATGAATGTAATCACAATAAAAAATTAAAACGCAAGATGAAGAATGATCTTAGTCAAAAAATCAATGATAATGTGTACGACTGGTTTGTTGCTCAACGATCAAAAAGAATTCCAATATCTGGCCCTGTTTTACAAGAATATGCTAGGAAGATTGCTACTGAATTAGGCGATACAACAGGTTTTAAAGCTAGCAACGGGTGGCTTGATCGTTTTAGATCACGTTATAATGTTCAATTTCGAACTACTTCTGGTGAAGCAGCAGCTGTTGATAGTAATACAATTGAAGATTGGAAATCACGTTTGCCGGTAATTCTTGAACAATAAAATCCGGCTGATGTATACAATTGTGACGAAACAAGTCTTTTCTTCAAGATGTTGCCTAATCGATCTTTTGTTATCGATAAGGCTGATTGCAAGGGTGGACGACGTTCAAAAGAACGATATACAGTTCTACTTTGTGCCAACTGGGCAGGAACTCATAAACTAAAACCTTTAGTAATAGGTGAGTAGTCATTTGTTTCTTCCATTATGATGTTCTTGTTATCTATTCGGTATTTTCAGACAAAGCAGCGAAGCCAAGGTGTTTTAAAGGTCTTGACATGAAAAAGTTACCGGTTACTTGGTGCAGTAATCGAACTTCATGGATGAACAGTTATATTTTTACCAATTGGTTAAATGAATTCGACGAAATTATTGAAAAACAAAATCGTAAAATCTTATTATTTCTTGATAATGCACCTGCACATTCACCTGATATCAAACTGAAGAACATCACTCTCAAATTTTTTCCATCAAATACAACTGCTCGGATACAACCTTTAGATCAAGGTGCAATCAAAACGTTCAAGGCTAATTATCGAAGACAATTAGTACAACATATTATTGCAAATGCTAATACAGCTTATTCAGCTGATGATGTTGCTATAACTGCATTAGATGCTGTTTTTTGGATAGAATGCGCTTGGAAATCTGTAACAGAAACAATTTTACGAAATACATTTAAAGAAGCTGGTTTTGATATTCGTACTCCTCCTGTTCAACATTAACAAAAACAGCATTTAACAATGAAGATGTTGTACCAAAAAATACATGTTTTGATGAACTTAATTCAGTACTTAAACATTTAACTATTGGTGGTGATATAATGTCAGCAACTGATTTTGTGGTGAGTCGCTGATGATCAGTTTGAACTTTATCACTTAAAATTCTTGATACTTTTTTCTTTAATGTTGTAGTCTATTGATGATGATGTACCAGCATTCAATGAATGGGATGATGGTAATGAGAAGATTTTAGCTATTGATGGAATATCAAATGAAGATACAGGCCAAGATGAAGGTACAATAGTTGAACAACCACCATCATTGTCCGAGGCAGTGGAAATGGTACGTCGTTTACACCTGTTGTCAACTGCTCAACATCCTCAACTGCATTCATTTGTTATACAACTTCAGTCAAAACTTATTGATATATATCTAAATCTGAATGTTTCCAAACAAAGAACTATTCATGATTTTTTTAAACATGTCCAAGAGGGATCTATATGTGATATTTGAACTTAATTTAATCAAATGTAAAGTGTCAAAATAGTAAAAAAAACTATAAAATAGAAAGATAAAAAGTATTTAGAAGGACATGAAAGATAATAAAACAGATGTTGTAATATATTTTTGCTTAATCCCTCTAATATGATCGCCCTGTTATACTGAACGCTTTCCGTTGGTCCCGACGGTGTTCACATTGGAGAAGTTTTACTATAATTGTTTTAAAGACTGATTGCAGATTCTGTGTAAATCATAATTATTTTGTAATTCATTTCTGTCGTGGACTCGCTTCCAACATTCTACGGTTGTCCAGAATCTACCAGACAGAACTGGTCATATATCACTCATCTGGACCCTCAGCTTGTGTATAAAAAAACAGAGATAAGAGAGGAGAAATCAGGATATAATGTTAGCAAGAAATCATATCTGAACTTTATAAATTCTCAGGTAGTTGCTCATGGACTGCCTGTTGTCGTCGCAAAACACTGGAAAACAATAGTGAGTGGAGGCAATTTCAAAACCCTTTCGGTTTTTGGGTACGCTCTGTAGTTTTCAATAAACTTTTTGCTATTTGCAAGAAAAATCGACTAGATGCCATCGGAAAAGTCCGAAAACGTTTAGGCTCGAACTACTACTGTCATGCTTCCTCGATGTTCGTTTTTTTCTGATCGAACAAAATAATTTCTCCGGATTTTTTTCACCAGTTCCAGTGGGTCACTAAATTCCGTTATTTTCAACTTCCATTGAAATCGGCAAAATAGAAGCACTGAGTTCAGACACCGAATCCCTGTTTCAAACGTGGCACTTTTCTCCAGTGTTGTCCTGTTGGAAACGGCAGAAGATTATTCACATAGGCATTGAGTTTCGGGCTAACAAGCCAGTGGTCGACGTCTATATAAGAGCTTATACTTACACTCACTCTACTCTTGTAGCAGTGGACTCAATGATTCAGATTAACCAGACTGTAGCGAAATGGACGCGTTTCGTCATCTTACTCGTTGAAATGTATCTTTTCATTACCTAAAAAACTCATTCTAATAGGTGCAAAACGAGGTTTGCCATATAAAAAGAGCTTTACCTTGATTCAGGGCAACGTCTAACTTTACAGAATCAACAACGATAGAATGAGGAAACCAATTTCGATCCATGCGAAAGTTATGCCTTTCAAATTGTATACTTTTGAATTATAAGCATTTATATTTAGTTTTGTTGTTGACGGCGTTTTTTCAACAGCACTGCAGTTTGTTGGCTTCTTAGAAGCTATAAATTATCAATTGCGCCGTTAAATGAAGCAAGTACTTTTATGAGGTCAACCGTCGCTGATTCAGACCTTGAACTCGAAATGTCCCTCAGAAAACAAAGTCCAAAAAGGCATACTTCGGAAGCTGTACATTTATGAAAAAAAATCAATTGAGACTTCACAAACTTCAATAAACATCTTAATCAATGCATGCCTGTGTGCTGCTGTTTTTAAAGTAAACAGTAACACAAACACATACACTACAACATAGCGCTGGCTGTTTTTTTTCATCACATAATACGCCGTTCATTCCTTTTTCTTTTCTCTCATTAAGATTTTACATCAAGCAGGCAGATTATTAGTTTTTATTGCGTCGATTAATAGAGAATGAGAGAATTATTTATACGATAGAGAAAGTGCAGGCGAGCGAACACAAGAACAAATATTGGGCACCTATATATTGAGAAGCAAAGTTGCTGATGATCAGTTAATTATTTTTTCAGTAAGACCGAAAATCTTATCGCAATGGCTTGGATGAAAATTCTCCTTGCGATAGTTTGTCTACTACAATATCTACTCTCAGTTAAACCAACAAGTATGTCATTCTATTATCATCTTGTGTCTGCAGTGATAAATAAATTGTGATTTCTAGATGCTCAAACATGTTCATATATGTGGGAGCCAATTTTCGAAACTAATTTGGTTAATCCACCAACCATGTGTACCGGTATATACACTAAGAATTGCTACCGTCTTAATCATAATTTTGTTGTTCTTTTTTTTGTTACTTAAGTGAGTACGACAAGTGGCTTTCCGTGCATTTTTCCATTTGTTTACCAAGAAGTAAGTTGTAGAAATAATTGTACCACTCAATAAACTTACTAACAAATGTTTTCATCAAGGTCATCTACACAAGCTGTACAATCAATAGTCCGAACAATACTGAATTTCGACCTCAATGTGCTATCAATGTTGATAGTAGTCAATCAGTCATTGATTGGTCATTCTGTATGGGTGAGTAATGTTGATCATAGTCACAAAACAATTTAGAATTTGTCCGCAGCATTTTCGTTTCTAAATAATGCCATTTGATGTGATCAATATTCGAAAAAATTTCCTACATACTATATTTAATAAAATCAAGAAAGTAAATAAATTAGCCAGCTGACAGATCAATCTGAAATTTGTATTGGTATTGAATCGGATAGACTAATGACGAGTTGAATTCCATCTCTAGTTTAGATCAGTATTTGGATATGTAACGTAGAACAAATGAATAAATAAAAATATCATAAGAAGAAATTAAAATATTTATGCACCTTCTTGCCTTTCTATGTCTCAAAAAAAATCGACGTTAAAAAATCAATTCCATTATTTTTCTTTTTAAATGCAAAAGTATTGGCAGGATGATGAGTTAAATCAACATTAACGCACAACAACGTTTCTATAGAAAGACCTTCTATTGTAGTTAGGCCTTTTGATAAAGGCATTCTTTTATTATTGGATCAGAAGTTTACATAACAATTATTTGTAAGGGAATTTAGCACACACGTTTTTTTCCGGTTGAGTTCGGTTTAAGTTTTGAAAAACTTTAATTATGCTCATATCTGCTCAGAATGACGTATTTGTAATAGCTCATTTAAATTTTACACAGCTATCTGAAAGTTGTTATACTCAATATCTGATATCATACGGCAAACTATTAGTTCCAGGAAATATGTGCAGATAGATGAATCTATTCTTCACTACATTTTCTATCGGTCATGGAAAAACAAAATTCAGTCATATCAACACTCAATACATAAAGTAATTTGATAGTACATTGGCAGAAATTACAATTATCTACTATCATTACAATGTTTTGTAAGTCCCTTTGAAATATAGAGTAAATAATTTAGTTATGTATCACTGTTGCATAAGTTCTCTTTCGATCTGTAGAATATCAAGCTCTATAGTACGTGTTTCTTTCATTCAGAAGTTATGAGCATGTTACTAGCAGTTTTGATATTGGCCAAAGGTCGCTCAATTATTTTATTATAGATCAAGATAAAGGTTATTAACCATTTTGGGTTGATCGATGATGTTTGATTTTAGTTTCAGGTTGATTTAAGCTCAGTAAATCAACTTCTTCGAAATATATTCGCTCTTCATGTCTTCACTTATACAAGCTAGTGGTGTTATGTTTGAGTTACGATAATGTTGTTTTACTGAACTGAAATAAATTTAAAACTAAAACGAAATATGATCAACTGATACAGAATATTGGCTCGGACGTGAATAGAATAGAGACTTTTTCTCCCGGTCACATCCATATCCATGATATCCAAAAGAAACAGGCTCACTCATTTCAATAACTTGAATATTCAATGCGATTTGTGAGAACAAGTTTTATTTATATAGTGCCAACTGATGCTATTGTCTTCTACTCTACGATGAGGAAGAATGGTCCATGGACACAGAACAGTGGTAGTACACAGGGTGGTACTATGCTTTGGATCTATGGTAATCGATTTGCACAAACTGGTTTCAATACAGTACCTTCAACAACGAACACCAATTTCGTACAATTAGTGGATGGTTATTCAGTTCATAACTGTACAATACACGAAGACAAAGTGACCAATACACAATTGACATGTTATACACCAAAAATGCCTGAAGGTGTCTATCAAATTCGAGTCTATGTAAATGAAAATTTGATTCCACTCTATCAATACTATGATCCAAAGAGAGCGACATTCGTACCAATGTCAAGTCAAACACCAACCATCACAGGAATTACACCATTGACAGCAACACCACGTTCGTTGATTTCACTTTCAGGTTCATTTAAATCACCATGTTTTTCACGTGATATGGACGGCTGTTCTCAAGATAACAATCCACTTATCTCTCGGTAAGAATGAGCGAAATTTTCTTAGAAAAAAATGTCTCAGCTATAATTGACTTTAGTAATCAAATAATTACATAGAAGAATTTTACTTAGAATTTCAAAGAATAAGGCAACTTAGTACTGTACATATGAAATTATTCCAGACTTCTGCCTTCAAGAAACAACGAGAGAAAACAGAATCTAAAATTTAGTAGTTGTGAGTAATGTACATACGATATACTTTTTTTTCAATTTTTTGCATAGATATTGTAGTTCTACCTAAAAGTATAGCGAGCAATAGCTATATCACTTCAATTAAATTGATGCAAAAGACATTTTCATGGTAGAAATACAGAACTAAATATTTGTAAAAGATTTCCATTGTTTACGTTCTAAAAATGTATACTCTTGATGATAGGCATTGTCCTAATGCACGATAGTAGGTCAACTAATTTTATTTCATTTCTTTAAGTATTTACATGGGTGGTCAACTATGTAATGTGATTAATCCAATTACCGGTGCCAAGTAAGTATGCGTATTTTAATATTATTTCTATTCAAATTGTCGACTCTTAGTTATTCGGAAGTAACTGATAGCAATCTTCTATGCAACTTCGATAGTAACGAAGTTGGTAAGTAATACATTTCTTCAATACAATCGCTAGCATAACAATCATAATAATTTAACTATTGTTTGATATAGGCGTTTTCAATATAAGCATGATCGTTACAAATGAATATGGACGTTCAATGGTTCGTTCGGACCTCTACCGAATATCTGCTACTGGTCAATTATATAATTTTCAAACTTATGCAAGTCAGTTTTGTTTTTCCTGTTATACATAGTTCTTATTGATCATGTTACTGTTCAATTTTCAGTTGTTTCAAGTGTATCACCAACAATGGGCAGTATAGAAGGTGGTACAACATTAGTTGTTAGTGGTCAATATTTCAGTCATACTACTCAATATCCAATCATAGTCCAAGTTGCTGGAGAAATCTGTATAATTTTAAATGTCACTTTGACAACAATTCAATGTAGAACACCTGTCAATCCATCTCTAGGTCGTAGTCAATATCAAGGTCAGTTGACATCATTTATCATAAAATTTGATATGTAAACATTTTATTATTATTAGGTGGACGAGGTCTTCAAGTGTTTTCTGATCAGATCATAGTTAGTCAAGTACGATAATAGTAACTATTTATGCATTGTTTTTATCACTCGTTTCATTGCTTTAGGCATCAATGAGCAGTGTGAACCCACAAATGCCTAGTATAAATGCGAATCAAACATGGATTGATGATGCATTATATGTATCCACATCATCAACAAACGAAACTGTATGGATTATTGGATTTATTCGTGTTCCAACGACGGCAACCTTCTCATTTATTCTAAAAACTAATGGCTATGGAGCTTTGTTTTTAAGCACGAATGATAGTCCAATTAATAAGACGAAAATTGCTGATGCCACTTCTGGATATCAATCTAGTCCCATTGTTTTGCAAAACAATACCAAGTATGTTAAAACATTCTTTTCCAATTAAGATTTATATTTACTTATGATGTTTTTTTTGTCCAGCTACTATTTATTATGTGTTGGTTCTCGAATCGGTGGCAATTTAAGTATATCAATACAAGCGAGAATGCACGAAACAACATTAACAGCAGGAACATCAAGTTTAGTTACGAATGAAATTCAACGCATCGATATCAATGCTACTGTTACTAATGAAAAACAGGTATTTGTTAATCAAATGCCAATTTTAATGATTATTTTTTTGTTTCTCTAAAAACAGAGCATCATATATACAATGAATTCAACAAGCAATGGAACAGCTGAAGTGCAAACGATTGCAATTGATAATTCAACATTTCAAATTGGTTTCTATGGTGTCTACACAGGTTTGCTAATGACTTTCTGAAAATTTTAACGCATTCTTTTGTTTCTCTACATTCAGGTCTACTCAATGGACGACCAACAGCTTCACTTGTCCAAGCTGCTCTCAATGATTTACCAACTATCTATCCATTGTCTGTTCGAGTAGAATCGACTAGTTCACTTTATATTATTACATTTCCTGTCGAAATGGGTGACGTTCCATTACTCAATGTTATTTCTACAGCAGCCAATGAACCTAATGTCACTGAAACAATTCAAGGTGTTGCATCAGGTACCAAACTAGCTTTTCAACTGGATGGAGCAACAACACGTTATCTTGATTTTGTTAACAACAATCTTACACAAGCAAATTTGACTTCAGCTATTAATGAACTATTTACCATTCGATGTCCAGTTTCTCTCAACAATCCACAAGCTACATCATCGATTGTCTATGTACAAGAATTCGAAACTGGTTGCATTTTTGATGAGACACGAATTACAAGCAATGCATTTTGTGGCCAATGTTCTCTCACAGGCAACACACTTGTGTCAGGAAATACTCGTTCAGCAAATTATCTTTGTTTTGCTTACAAAATTTTCAATTCGTATGTTACCGAAATTGGTCTTGGTATACAAATCAATGGTGACACAACAGCAACCTATTGGACATCAATTTCATTTAGTCCAGTTGCCGATAAATTTTGGCATTATACATGTGTTGATGTACGTGCTACACTTACTTCACAATCATCCATGTATTCGACAGCATTCTCATTCGTTATCATTAATGCATGGCTCAATCAAAACATTCGACAAGGTATTATGATTGATACAGTTACAGTGCGTACAGTACTACCTATCGGTTATGAAGATCAAAGTCTATATCCTATCGATGGAGCATCAAATTTCAGCTCGTGTACTTTCCCATTCTACTATAATGGTGAATCCTATTCGGCATGTACACTAGATAATAATAGTATGGCTATTTGTGCTAATATTCTTAATCAAACATTTCAATGTCAAAGTTCATCGATCGAAGGCGTTCGTCGACTCTATCCAAAACGACAACTAGTCTACAATACATTACAAGTGGCATATACTCCAGTAAACTCTACAATCAATATTTCATTTCGATACAGCGATTGTTCGAGTCCAACGTTATTTTCCACATTACCTGCTACAGTGAGTCAAGTCCTTTCTAATGAATGAAAATACATAACTATAATATGTTCTCTTATAGAGTTCAATAGTAACATCAATTACACAAGCATCTCCTGCCGCAAGTGGAACATTTGATTTGAATTTTAATGGACAAACATATTCATCAATATCAGTCAACATTGATCCAATAGAATTGATCAATAGACTTCAAGCATCATCTGATTTCGGTTTTCTAAAAGTAACTCGTTCGCGTGACTGTACAGGCTATTCATACACAATAGAATGGTTGTCCAACGGTGGTCAAAAATCAAATATTTTAGTTTCGAATACTAGTGGAGGGATGCCCATTGGTACAATCGTCACATCATCGGTCACACAACGAGGTGGAATTCTATTCAATCCTTTACCGGGTGATATAACACGAACATATCATACAACTCCTCAGGTTAGTTTTGTCATCTAATTATATGTTACATTTTAATTGATAGTAAGATGTTATAGGTAGAAGTATTTGTGGGTGGTTATCTATCTAAATGTGCGAACACGAATAATAGTTGCCAATTTGAATGGTCACTCATACAAACTCCAACAGTATCGAGCATTGTGCAGAGTGGAATGACTTTATCAATCACTGGCACTGATTTCAGTACAGTTCTTGACGACAATATTGTGTTAATCGATGTGATCAATTCATGTATTGTCACAGCGGCAACATCTACTTCCATTACATGTACTATCGACAATGCTCCTTCAGGTACTTACACTCTAAGCGTAAATGTTGTTGGTAAAGGTTTAGCATCTAACAGTGCTAATTTGACGGTTACTATTCCTTTGCAAATCGCATCATTTTCACCTAGTCAAGGAGGAGCAGGTAAGAATTTTTCTATCATAATTGATACATAATTTTCATGCTCTTTCTTCTAATGAATATAGGTGGAGGCTATCTATTAACAATTATGGGTACTGGATTCTCATTGACTACTGTGGTGACTGTCGATAATAATTTGTGTTCGAATGCTCAGATAACTAACTTTTCCTTGATTACATGTATTGTACCTGCCACAACGGCAATAAGCAATCAACAAGTTGTCGTATCGGTTATTGTCGAATCGAATATAGTCAATGCATCTTCATTATTTACTTATGATATAACCAATACACCTAATATCTGGTCCATAAGTCCAACTCTCGTCACTATGACTCCTGGTCAATTAACCATAGTCGGAAACCTATTTGGAAATACTTCAGTTTCAGTTTCAGTTGGTTCAATAAATGCTGCTGTAATATCAACAACATCGACTCAGATAGTTGCCAATTTACCTTATTTACCTCCTGGTCGTTATCCAATAATGGTTTCTACAATGAATGGTTTTGCAAGGCCTCCTGTTTATATCGAATATTATTTTTATGTTCAACAAGTTTCTCCACAAGTTGGCTCATTATATGGTGGCACTGATGTATACGTTCAAGGGGAAGGTTTTGATAACTCAACAAGTATCACTTTTTGTGATAGCAACAATCGTCAAATGCCATGTAAAATAATCTCTGTCCAGTCAAGTCTTATTCATTGTCAAACAACACCTGCAGTTCCGGAAATGATCATCACATCGAACGGTGTCGATCCAACGTATGGTACTGGTTTTGCTTGGTCACCTCAATATGCAACAGTACAGCAGGGTGCACTTGTTACATGGCAGTGGGGTTCGTCGGCGCTCTTATCATCACTAAAATACAAAGTACAACAAGTAGCTAATGCATATGCTACAGAACCATTGTCGAACGGATTTGATTCAGGCACAGCCACATCATCTGGTGAGTGAAAATGTAGATTTTCTTCTAAATGATGAAATTTATTTTCGTTCATGTCAGGTTCTTTTTCTTATCAATTTGTTACATTGGGCACCTACTATTACTGGTCGACAGTCGTCGATCAAGCTGGTATAATTATTTTGCGTGGTGTTATTACAGTAGTAGATGCTCAACCACAGATTCTCACTGTTCAAGCCATCTCAAATTCATTTACTGGTAAAAGCATATACGCACTTTCTCTCTCTTCAATTTCATGAATGACGCTTTTTCTTTCTTCTCATGATGTAGCTCAATCATGTGTCTTCCCATTCACTTACAATTCTGTTAGTTATACAGCATGCACAACAATGAATGATACTCAACCATGGTGTTCTCCATCATCGGTGTATACAGGTCAACGATTATATTGCACACCAAGAAGTATGATACTTGCTGAAAAAAGAATAAAAATAAATATGTATTTCATGTGTTTTGTTTTCTACAATAGCTTCTGTGCCAGTTTCATCATGTGGTTCGAGTTCGAATCTTAATCCAAGTTTATGTCTTCAAACAGTACCTTCAGCAATTCCACTTGAATTTCTTTCCACGTCATGTACACTTGGTTCAGTGACTTTAATTTCACCTGTTCAAGGCACTGCTGGAACAACGATCATAATCACAGGTTTTTAACTGATTTTCTTCTTCTAGTTATATATCATTATGTTTTTCTTTTTCAATGAAAGGAACCGGCTTCAGTACAGTAGCATGTGAAAATGATGTTCAAATTGGATCATCTTATCATTGCCCAATAACAAGTGCTTCATCGACACAACTTCAATGTCAAATCGGTGTTGGATCCTTAATCAATGCTAAGACAAGGCAAATAGTACAAGTGGCTCGTGATCGTCAGGGTTATTTAACTAGTGATGGTCAATTATGCTTTCAATTTCAAGCATCTATCTCGAATGTTTCTCCAAACTTCGGTAAAAATTCAAATGATCATTATCATCAACTTCTATATTTTTGTTCTGTCTAGGTTCAATCTTGGGAGGCACTGAAGTAACAATAAATGGCGATGGTTTTATGCCAGGTGACACTCGATTGATTATCGCTGGAACTGATTACTCCAATATAGCTAACATTTCATATACACGAATAGTTTTTACTACACCATCTCAAATGACTTACATAAATCAAAACTTGACAGTGGTAGTATTGATCGGTATGAATGAGGCTATTTGCTTGAATACATCTTGTACTTTTCAATGGTCAACAAGTATCACACCATACCTGGATTCTGTAAGTCCAAATCAAATTAGCGGTCCAACAGCACTCACATTGACCGGAAGAAATTTGATTGTTGGTGGAGGATCAGCTTCAGATACTCTCGTAACTATCAGTGGTAATCCTTGCAATATCACGTCGATGACGAACACACTCATTGGTTGTCAATTAGGTGACATCGAAGCTGGTAATCATTCAATTGCTGGATTGATCAATGGTTTGTTTTTCTGTCAAGGAAATGATATAAACGATTAATATTCATATATGAATTCTATTTTAGGCGTTGGATTTATTATTTCGACAGTTCATCTAACATCGACGGCAATTCTAACTGGCGTATCACCAAGAATGAGTGGTATCTATGGTGGTATTCTTCTCATTATCACAGGTAATGGATTTTCAAGCAACATTAGTAATATTCGAATTATGGTCGGCTCGAATCAATGTCGACTTGTTCAAGCTACTACAAGTCAACTTCAATGTACAGTTCCACCCCAAGGTAGTCAATCATCTGTAGTCAGTATTGCAGTCACTTCGAATGGAATTACTTTGCCTGGATCATTCTCATTTGTCTATAATTCTTCTAATACACCCTATGTGTCTTCAGTGAATCCAACATCAGGAAGTGTCTCTCAATCATTGACCATTAATGGTAGCAACTTCATTCTTGGCCAAACCAGCGTTTTCGTGGGCAACAGTTTATGCAACATTAATAATGTTTCAACAACATCTATCACATGTACATTGGGTTCAAGTTCAGCAGGTGTGCAGCCAGTGACTGTTTACGTAACAACAACTGGAAATTCAAATTCAGATGTTCAATTCACTTATATATTGCAAGTTACTAGTGTTTCTCCGGCGCAAGGTAGTTATGGTGGTGGTCAAACAGTAAGAATCACTGGTGACGGATTCAATGCAACAAATACATCCGTCAGTGTATGCAATCGATTATGTCAAACGATGACTATAGTTTCGAACACAGAACTTTTATGTATTACTCCTTCAGCTACTCTATCGATCTTGAATACATTGTGTAATTTGACAGTAAGCGTTGATGCACTTGTTCGCAGTGTTTCATTTGTCTATCAAGCAAATTTAACGGCAATTATTACTAATGTAAGTCCAACTCGTGGTGGAACAGGTGGTGGTACTACACTTACCATCAATGGAACCAATTTTCCGTAAGTATTTAAAAAAAAAGAAAGATCAATCAACATGTTTTCTTTCATATTGGTCATGTCTAGAAGTTCGATCAATGTTGTATCAGTGAGCATTGCTGGAATACCATGTATTGTACAGACCATTAATCCAACAGGCATGACATGCTTGACTGGTAGTTATCAAGGAATAACAGTCTTAGCTCCGATAATTGTTTCTATTAATGGATCGGGTAATGCAGTTGGTTCACCTGTATTTCAGTATATCGATCTATGGTCAAGTCCATGGACATGGGGTGGCAATGCACCACCTGAAGAAGGCACAATTGTTTTGATTAACAATGGCAAGACAGTCTACTTTGATACGACAACACCTACTTTAAAGGCAATTATCATCGACAATGCTTCATTGATTTTTGACGACACACGAGACGTTGCTCTCAACGCTGAATATATCTTAGTAGTCAATGGTGGTCTGTTTCAAGTCGGTACAGAATCAAATCCATTTCAACATCGAGCTGTCATCACTATGTATGGTCATTTGCGATCAATTGAATTACCTATCTGTAAGTGACATTTGAAATTTGACGAATGTTATTACAAGTTTTAAATTCTATTATTGTTAGTTGGTGCTAAAGTTTTGGCTGTACGTGAAGGTATTATTGATATGCACGGCAAACCTACTGTGCAAATGTGGACACACTTAGCAATGACAGCCGTTAATGGATCGTCAACAATTACCCTTCGTCAAGCTGTCGATTGGACAGTTGGAAGCGAGATCATAATTGCGACTACAGGTGATTATCTAAGTCAAGGTGAAAGTGAAAAACGTACAATAACAGGTATATCAAACAATGGACTAACACTAACATTGAATACGCCGCTTAATTGGACTCATTTGGGTGTCACTCAAAATTTGGGCTCGATATCTATTGATGCTCGAGCTGAAGTTGGTCTTTTATCACACAATGTCGTTTTTCAAGGTTTGTTCATATTAAGTTATTTATCATTCTAAAAACAGTATGAATTTGAATATAGGTTCTGTAACAGAAACATGGAATCAAACGATCAAAGCATGTCCAGGAGGTTTCAATCCAGGTAGAATTCTTTGAAAACATTTGAAACTCATTCACACTAAATTTATGTTTCTTTCTTGTTTTATCAGATGAATTCGCCATTCAAACCTGTTTTCTTGGTCGATATGGTGAGGAAATAGGTTCAGATCAATTTGGTGCTACAATAATGGCTAGTGGTGATATGGATAAGATTAGTAATGGTCAACAAGTCATTCTTCGTTTGTCCAATATTGAAGTAAATAAAATTAATAAAAGTGAAACTATATTAACGTTTGTTCATGTTTGCAAAGGTCTTTAATGCTGGTCAAGCATTTCGTCTTGGTCGTTATCCTGTGCATTTTCATATGAATGGTAATATGAACATGTCATACATAAAATCATCCTCAATCCATCAAACATACAATCGAGCTGTTAATATTCATGCTAGTCATTATGTCACAGTCGAAAACAATGTCATTTATAATATTATGTATGATAGTAATACTGATTATTATTGATAGTTTAATATGTAATCTTTATTGTTTTAATAGGGGAGGAGCGATGTTTCTTGAAGATGGTGTTGAAATAGGGAATGTTTTTCGAAGTAATTTGGCTGTATTTGTACGAACAAGTTCCAGTCTATTGAATGACGATGTTACGCCGGCAGCATTTTGGGTAATGAAAAAAATGGATTTCTATATATTCTCTATATGTTCTTACTTATAAATACAGGTCACTAATCCAAATAATACAGTCGAACATAATGCAGTAGCTGGTGGCACTCATTTCGGTTATTGGTATCGAATGCTTCGTACTCCCGATGGACCATCGTTTGCAATGTACCCAGACTTCTGTCCATATCGGCAGCCATTCGGACGATTTTTCAATAACAGTGTTCATAGTTGTGGTCAATTTGGTGTATGGATTTTTCCTGAGTATGTATCAACAGTTGGTGGAAGCTGTTGGGCCGATGCACCAAAGCAACCAGTCTTCGAGCGATTGACTTCATGGAGAAATACCAAAGGATTCGAAGCAGTTATGTCAAATGTAATTCAAGTGAAGAGTGCAGTCGTTTTCGATAATATTGATATGGGCATTGCATATCTCACTGCTATTGATCACCGAGAAACAAATTTACCTAATCTTCGAGCCACTTTTTATGATATAAATACAGGTGCATCTGTCATTGACAGTATTATCATTGGTGATTCCAATTTAGCGGATAGTCCAGTGATTCCTTGGCGAGGTGGCCTTGTTGGTAATATCTCATCTTATATTGTTCGTTTAATTTAAAAGTCATTGAAAAAAAAAACATTCGTTTTAGTTGTTTGGGACCGTGGTCTACGCGTTCGAAATGTTTCTTTTATAAATTTTCAAAGTTCACAAACTCAAGCGATGCATGGACCGGTAAAAGCTGGAAGATGTGCCGTTTTTTGTGGAGGTAAAGGAATACTTCTTGAAAAAGTAAAGATTCTGGCAATATTTTCCTTATGATTCAGGCTGGACCACTAAATTTTCACAAATGTCATTTACAAATGTCACTAATCGTGCTCTCTTTCGATGGCCATATGATGGTTTGTATTTGGATGAAGATGGGACATTGGGTGGCTTGCCAAATGCTACAATTATGCCCCCAGATAGTCTATGGAATACATCCACTGCATGTGTTCCAGCAAGCAATTTTCTCAATGCGATTCGATGTCCAGCCTCGTTGGGTAGATGGCTACGGTTCGCTTTTAATGGAGCTAACTTAGGTCAAAATGGTGAACCACTAGTTGTCTACGACATGTCAAATCATTCAACAGTCATTCCTTATCTCAGGAAACGATTAACTCATCCTTTTGGCTATATGGCTGTATTACAAGCTAAGCAAACATATACATTGGAATTTGTTAACGCAAATGTATTTATCAAGAGTTTCTTTTCGATTTCAACGTAACATCTTTTCTTTCTTATAGAGCACGGTTAACTTGTCGTATACAGGAGCTGTTTACGATTTAGCAGCCGGTGATTATCTCATCTTTCGACATAAAGTTGCTTATCTTCCTGATCAAGTATATACTGTATCAAGTTTGACAATGACTAGACAATCAAGTACGCCTCTCTCAGGTTTAACCAGTAACAATGGTGACTGGTATTATGACAATGTTACAACATACTTCTACTATATTGGTATGATAAACTATTGTATTGTTTTCAAAATATTTTTTTCTATTTATATTAAGTTAAAAATCCTTCGAATAATGCAACATCTATCGACGTAGTTATACCTTTAAAAGTGATAAAATGTCGCTATCCGAATTGTGAATATCCATCACAGCCCGCATTCGGGTCACCAGCAACGGTTCGTCCTTCTGGTGCATTGTTTTGGTCGAACGATTCGCATTGGTCGTTTGCAACACAAGGCTTCGGTGGTTTTGGTATGCTTGTTTGATTGAAAATGACTAAACCCTTTGAATATTTTCTTTAGGTGCTATCAAACCTGGAAATGATACAGATATTTATATTCCACGTGGTGTTTGGCTCGTAGTTGATTATCCATTGCCCCGTATTCTGTCTCTACGAATTGATGGTGTTCTAGAATTCGAACAGGTTTGTTCTCATATTTTTATGCACTTTTAAATAATTGTTTTCCTTAATTTTAGGGTATGAACAATATTCTTTATGTAAATAGTGTTTTCATTAATGGAGGTCAATTGATTGTCGGTGAGTTTTGATGACAAATAATTTTCTACAAAAAATCTTACCATTCTTTTCATAAAGGTTGGCCTAACAATCCACTAAATTCCAGTGTCGATATTGTCATTACGGGAGATGCAGTGATGAATGTATTGTTGCCAAATGATGAAGGATCAATGGGATCGAAAGTTATTGGTGTCTTCGGCGGTCTTGATCTACATGGTATAAAACACAATATTACATGGACAAGACTAGCCTCTACAGCTTCTTCGGGTCAAAACACCATTATTCTCATTGAACCGGTTGATTGGATAGTCGGAGATGAAATAATTATTACAACTACAGATACTAACATACAACATACTGAACGACATCGAATAGCCTATGTTGGTGCTGGTGGAACTACGATAGTAACAGTAAATCCACTTGATTACACACATATTGCCATTCGAAATGTATTTCCTAATGGACAAGTACTCAATATATCAAGTGCTGTTGGTTTATTGTCACGAAATGTGCGTGTTATCAATCAAAGTCCAGCATCAGATCTATTTGGCTATCGAATACTTGTTACTGACTATGCAACAAATGTTTGGAATCCAGTAGCCAATGAATCTATCTATACTTATTACAAAGGTTATGCTCGAATATCGAATACACAGTTTATTGGTTACGGTCAATTTTTCGATGCACCCGATGAAGATAAACGTGAAGGTATTCACTTATATAATCTTGGTGATTGGAATGCATCACGACCGACCTATGTTGATTCATGTTCATTTGACGGTGGATCATACTCAGCGTAAGTGTATTGTTGTCATTTGAATTCCTTTTGAAACTTGACTATCGAATAGAATTGGCATTTGGAATGCAAGCGGTGTTCCGATTACCAACAATATCATCTACAATACATATCAATCAGCTATTGTAATTACAGGCAAAAATAATATCATCAATCACAACCTTGTTGCCACTGTCTATTGGTCGGGTACTGCTCAACCTGAATATGCTGAATTTAATATAAATTATGACGGTGCAATAATGTCTCGTGATGCTATCAGTGTTGTTATGAGAGTATGTAGAAATAAATAAATAATCTATGTGAGATCCATAGAAATGTCTTGAACATTGTAGGATAATATGGTTGCCGGTGTCGAACGTTTAGCTTATCGAATTCAGTGTGATGCTTGTTCAGGAACTAACATTCCAAGTAACATCAGCAATGATTACTGGAATAATGAAGCTCATTCGGCCATGACAGGTGTAAATATTTGGCCGACAGACAAAGGTTTCGATTACGATTTAGGTATGCTAAATTACTACATAAACTATTCATCATTGCTTTGATTATCTATTGATTTATTGTTTATCTCTATTATAGAATGCATTCTGGTCAAAGGTTTTAAGTAAGTAATATGTTAATGTAAAATTGGATTATAGATCATATAACAATGAACTATATACAAGTTATATACGTGTATTGTTTTCTTCTTTTATATCATACAGAATGTACAAAATGTTCTATTATGGTCTTTACATTAATACGCCTCGAAATATTACGATCGATTCGTGCACTATCGTCGACTGTACAGTTGGCATATTCTTATTTGTGATGGGACCTTCAGGTAATTTTAGATGAAAAGGGATTAATGTCTCTTGTCTATCATATTTGTCAAACTAATTATTCATGATACATTTACTTAGCTTTGACTCATATTGCTTCTAACAATTCCGTCCATATTCACAATACTATTGTTGTCGGTTCTATTATACCAAATGATTGTGCCGACATTGTTAATAGTTCATCTATCAGTATTGCATTAGCACCAAAAGCTATACCAACTGTAGCATCACCAAACGCAACAGATAGTCCACAAGGTCGATGTGGCATTGTTTTTCCATATATTTCTCCCAATAACAAAATGCCGGTGAAACCTTGGACAGGCATTAAAGCTTATCCATCCGGTTTGTTGAATACAAAAATAACTTGAAACAATATTTTAGTTTCATGTTTCTAGTTGATGGAGGTATGTTCATTACAAACACTACTTTAGCATTCTTCAATGATGTATGTGGTCGACATGACACAGCTATTCAAGTTGGACAACATAATGATGATGGACAATTTCCTGTAATGACAAGTTCAATGTCAATATTCAATACATCTCGACGTAATATCATCTTCAATGGACGTCCAAACCTACAAGTTGTCAACTCAGCTGATTGTGTTGGTAAGTTAAATATTCTCAGTGAATACCATTTGATTAACTTTACATTTTTTGTTCATGATTTCATAATATATCATTTATTTATTTAGATATGGACTGTGATGGTCTTAAGAAAGCTTTACTAATTGATATGGATGGTACATTTTTTGGGCAACCAGGTAGTGCTATTTCTCAGGCTGAATATCTATGGGGTAAGAATGTGATAATTGATATCGAATCAAATCGATTTTCTTCTCTAAGGTGATCAACAACATGGTATCGGTGATTTTCGAATACCATTCGTGGCACTTTCGAACATGACTGGTCATCAAATCAATATTAGTGCAACTTATCCATATCGAGGTATCAACTTAGCTCCAACATGTGCTTATGAATCGGCGTGGCAAATGTATTTTTGCAACAATACACTCGATTATCGCATGTTAATTATTGAAAGTATGGATCCAGATACAGAAACACGACGTCTTTCACCTGTTGCCATCATGTCCGACAATGGATATATTGACCTTATTAATGGCCCTCAAGATCATGGCTGTTGTAACGGTTATACTTGCCGGAAACGTGTGTCAACATTTATGGCCATCGTAGAATCTTATCATACATATTTGATTTATCTAACAAGTACTCAACCAAATCAAATGCGATTTCGAGTTTTAAATAGTGATGCAAGAATCAAAGTTATTTTGGCTCTTCGCTATGATTCATTGCAACAAATTGATGTTTATGCAAATGATATTTATGTATCACCAACTAATCGAGATTCAAGTTATTCTTTTCTAATGCTAACTGATCAATCGAACAATGTGACTTTTTCTTCACCAGCTGGCTCTAATTATTTCAATAGGTAACTTTATACAACAATACAATATTCTAAACATATTCTTGTTTTTACTTGTAGAACTACACAAATGGCTTATTTTGCAATCGATGGTCTTACAGTGATTGATCTCAAAATATCTCCATTACTCGTACTCACTTTCCGCTTACCACCAGTAACTCCATCATCATTTTTTTCGAACAATCTTGTTACTAATTTGGCTACTTTGCTTGGAGTGAATATGAACATGATTCGACGTGTTAATATCATCTCGGCTAATAATAATACGTAAGTTCTATTGTATTCTCTTTCATAATAATTTAGTTTAAAATTACTTTTTTTTTTCTAATTAGTCGAGTGCGTCGTCAAAACTCAATGACTGATTTTTATTTACAAGTTGAATTGTATAATGAGCCAGCAAACAATTTGACATCGTACAATACAACACAAGATGAAGTCTTGTTAAATTTAACATCCACAATTCTTAGTCAATATCAATCGGGTGAATTACAAGCAATATGGGCTCGAGATCCATCAACGAATAATACGAGTCCGACAGGTTTAACAGTACAAGAGCCATTTAGTCAAACAATGGATGAATTAAAGGTTATTAACCGTATTGAACTTGTAACTCAGCCGAGTTCTTGTCGTGAACAAAGTCCATGTACAATTCAACCAGTAATTGTTGCATATGATTCTAATGGAAATATTATTCAGAAATTAGGTTCCATTCAACATCCATGGCAAGTGATCGCTAGTTTGGTAGGTCAACCGAATGCATTTGTACCTGGTTCTATTGCTAATTATTCGAATGGACAAACACAATATAGTTTATTTGGATTGGCATCTGTTGGTACTTATCAAGTTCAATTCATGTTTATTTCACCGATGGGTGTCAACACGTAAGTTAAAAATATTATTTTTTAGTTATTCTTACTATTAAGTTGTTATTGATAGTTCATTTATGACAACATCTAATTTTACGGTTATTTCATCAATAATTACTGTCACACAAGCAATATTAGCTGGCATTGAAGTGGATCATGTCTATGTGACAACAGTAAACGAACAATTTAATGTATCTGTAATGCCTATCGACAGTGTTACTCGTCGTCGTATTGGACAGATCGTTTGGGGAAATTGGACTTGGACGCGTTCAGTTTCATTTTACGCTTTTCCTCAATGCAATCGTTCGACTACACTAATCATTAGTCCATCATCAAGAACTCTCATTAATTTATCAGCTGGCACAGTAACGATCACAGATATTGCAATCAATGCAACTGGCATGTTCATATTAAATATAAGTTTAGTTTCAACAAACAATATGTATACAATTCAAGTTATAACTAATGGCATACTTGTAAAATCAAATAACAGTTAGTTAATCATAATTAGAATTATACAAAAAATGTTCATTTTATTCTTTTCTATTTAAAAGATGAGCTTGAAGTTGAGACAGGTGATCCAGACACATATATAAACTCTGATGGAAACTACGATTCATTGGCAGCAACTGATGTACTTGAATTAACACGAGTCATTATTTACAATAATTTACTATGCATTGGTATGCCAGTGACTAGTGATATCACACTGTGGAAAGGTTAGTCATGTAAACATTATCTTTCTTATATTGTAATGCCATTTTCTAAAAGATTGTTTACGAGTTGATTTAGCTTCTTTTTTTTCTTTGCAAGAAACGAAAGTTCTTTCTTAGAAATATATATTAATTCCAATGTTCATCTTCTAATATTTTATCTATTTTAATTCTTCATGAATGGACTGAATATAAGTTTTTCCACAAAACAAAAACAAGAATTACTTTTTGTTTCTTTTCTAGTAAATTCTCTTGACAACATTACACTTTTGCATTTTTTTACAGATATCTATTCTAACATATCACATCGAAAGAATTCGATATTGGCATAAATAATATTTAAAACCATTTTAATTTCTTATCAGTTTCTTAACTTTCTACTATGCTATAATACATCTTCTAAAATCATTGGATTCATTTATGAAGATCTATTAAATCAGAGATTACTTTTTTGATGAAATGTCGGACTGATTAGTGTGTTAGGGATAGATATCTTTAAAAATAAAAACTACTAATCTAATTTTATAAAGTAAATTTTGTTTGAGCCTAGGAAATATTTCTCAATCTTTTGTGTTTTAATTTGCCAAAGAGATTGTCGTCAAATATTTAAAAAGTCATTGTAAGAGAAATGAAAAGGAATTGTTTGTTTGTTTTTATAGAAAAGTCTTTTATTTAATCTGTTCATGAAGATTTTTAGTTAATACTATCTTTGAAATGATATATACTTTTAAATACCGATTTTTGTTTCTGATAAAAGAAAAGTTTTCAATGTGATCGATAAGATATTACAATCGAAAATTATATAGATGGAAATAGTTTAACCATGATTAAAAAACTTTATTTTGTCTTTTATATTTCATTGAAGAATCGAAGAATTACATTGAGAAAATTTCATCGAGTACTATGAATATTGTGAGATACGTTGAAGAATCTTAGAAACTGTCGCCGATTGTAACAGTCATATTAATATTTGTTTCATAGAGTTTGAGTAGGTGAAGAGGAGGATGAAAATGGTAGTGGCAGTGATCTTTGCTCGTTTTTTACTTTGAATATTTATTATCAATTATTTGATCACAAAGAGAAGCTAATTTTTTGTAGAGATTGGTAGTGATCGTTGGCCTCTTGAATTGTCTTCAAAATCGACAACAGGTCTTATTGCTGCATTTATTGTTGGCTCATCTCAAACACAAGTTGCAACAGCTGTGAATATGATTAAGTCTAATCCTAATATCATGCCACAACTTAAGATTTTATCAATTACTATTCGTAGTCAAGCATACAGTATTTCATCTCCGTCTGGAGGAACAGGCAGCAGTTCGACCACTGAAAACACTGCGGGAAATACTAATACTATTGGTCTGATTGTAGGTCTCGTTGTAGGCATTGTTGGTGGTTTGATACTTTTAATTGGAATCATTTTGGGTTTGAAAGCCTACAAGGATAAACATGAACGTGTTTTTTCAAAACGTGACGACATGGTAAACTTGAATGAGTTGCTCACTTTTCATAATGATCATGATCCGATAATTCAAACCGAAACAAAAGACAAGAAAAATTTCAAAATTCTGAAAAACGAACCACCCACAGCATTGCAATTGCATCCTTCCCACATTCAGCTACATCCATCCATAGAGCATGTCGAATCTGACATACCACCTGGAGCTCTTACTACCACACCACTCGACTATACAATCCCACATGATGGACATAATGATGGTACTATGATGCCAGAAGTGGAAAAAATGTAATTCAATTGAACTATATAAGACGTGTGTGATTCATTTTTACGAAACTCATTTATTTTAAATCTTGTTTCGAATGTGTTTTCATTTCTCTGAACAAATAAATGCATACTTAAACATTAAGAATTTCGAAAAAGTTCTTTCGAAGATCTCGTCTTTAATTCATCTATTGGTATACCAATATTTCTAACATCACGAAATATGCACATACCAGATTAACTCTTGCATTCAAGGAACTCAACAAAGTGATATAGTGCTGATGACGAAATGGTTTCAAAGTAAAATATCACTTTCAATCGAAGTTAATGACAACAAAATGTAATTGAATAACGGCAAATGATCTAAGTTTGTTTTCTTTTTATGTTTGGAATAAATATTCGTCTCTTTATGATTAGATTTGTTTGAAGTCTCGCTTCATATGAAAAACATAAATTTCACTAGAACTAATCGATTATTAGCATGCGTTTTGTCTTTCAGTGATGTATCTGTCTATTATAGATCAGAAAATCAAATAATATACCACACTTTTTATTGATCATTCTTCAAATATGTAACGATTAGGTTCTCAAATCGTTTCTAACTCGACAAACTTTTGACACGAGTCATTCAGAACTAAGCAGCCAAATTATCAATCAAACAGTGGTAGTAATGAAAAGTTTCAACAAAAAATGTTAAACATTCAAATATTTGCACAGAAAAATGAAGCACAAACAATAATCGTTACAAGAATATTCAGTACCAAAGAAAAAATTATCATATGATGTTGAGCTTATTAAATGAGAGACTCATCAATAGCAAGATAATGTTATATAAAATTGGATCGCAAAAAAAATACATGGTACCACAAAACAAAACTGAAGTTAGATCTTTATTGATATTCGGAGTAGGAGGAGCGATTGCCTATTAATTTTTTTATTAATTTAAATTTAAATCGAATTTACATAAATTTAAATTGAATTTTTTTTGGTTTTAATGGAACGTATGTTAATTTTAATTGGATTAAAGTAAATGTTAAAAAAGATTTAAATATATATAAATCCGATTTAAATTTAAAATAAACTTTAATTTTCATATCGGAAGCAGTTTAAATATAAAATAAATTTGAATTTCTTACAATTTAGTTTTGAATTTATTAAATTTTTGTAAATGTTAATTGATCACTCCTAATAGAATTCTGCACAAAAAGGAGTTTTTAATTAAGCGAAGCTGTAACTGTTACTTTTCCAAAAACTTCTCCGGTCGAAAAAGTTGAAAAATAATTTCCTAAGATTGTAACGAAATATGCACCATTTGAATCATCCTGTGTTGATGATGAATTTCTGCTTGATTTTAACTTTTTTGCTTTCATTCCGATCGAAACTTCAATTTTCGGGAAAGAAATGAAATTTCGTGATGAAGACTTTTTAATTTGTTATTCGATGCAGTTATTCTCATTAAAAAATAACCTATTATTCTGAAAGCTTGGGAAACAATTTTTTACCATTGAAAGAAATAGATGTTACTATGTAAAAAACATGGAATTCTATCACGCCGCATAGTTAAAATAATCCTTAGACGCTGTGTCGCGATCGGCAACATAGTAGAAATACTACAAAAATTTAGTACGCCAATTCATGTATATTAATATTGTCCATACGTTTGAGTATTATTTTTAGATAGGGTGCTGAGTCTTTGGAAAATTAAATATTTTGATTACGTGTATGATTCGAACCAGACAAAAACTGCTGGTAGACCGATCGGTATAATGTACACTATACCAACGGTTTTTATCAAAAGTGGCGTATCATGGTGTACTGTATAAAAAGCAGGAGAATATTTTTGGAGTATGATAAAACTGACAGAACTGAGTGGATTTCGATGAACTTCAACAATGTTAATACGTTTAAGCCGTCTGCCATAGCTATAGAGCCTAATCAGGCTCCCGGTTGTGAGATAAATTTTTTATTCTAGATGGCACTGCAAAACTTTTCATTAGTAAAATATATTCTGAAACTATTTTCTTCTCGGTTATTTTGAGTTTTCTCTAATAGGTACTTCGAACTTGAGTAAAAAAAACTCTGCGATCATTTCTAGCTGAAATCGAAAGCCGTAAGAGCTATCGCCGGTGATTATGAGCAGAGGTAATGAAACAATTTTAATCTAGGAGAGGCTCAAAAATTTTCAGGCAGTAAAAGAGAATAAGATATAGGGGAAGGGGCCATTTTATACCTTTCCAACGTTGACTCATATTAAAGATGTACTGGTTGTTCCGATATGTTTTCAACAGGATTTATTTCGCATATATTTTTTGGTACAGACAAATTATGTAAATCTTGAAATTTCAAAAGATTCATCGTTAAATTTGCCAATCTTCCGTGATTTATCCTTTTTGAGAATTACTATATTCAGTCAACAATCGGAATTTCTCTATATAACAGCACAGGATAGAATCCAAATCATATTTAAAAGAGTGTACGGTCCGAAAGAGCGCCCTTTCACCTCCAACCGAGTTCCTGTCTGTGCTTCAATTTCTTTCATCTGACGATGAGATCAGTACGAGAACTTAACAAAAAATTTCGAAAGAATGATTCGTAGAAGTTGTTATATTCTTTAAGACAAATGTATCACAAATATCTGTTGAATTGTTCTGAAAGGTTCTTAAAAAAGCGAAAGAAAGATTGTATGAAATATTGTTACTATCCATTATATTGAAAGTAATAAAAATATCTATAATATATCTATTTCTAGTTAGCCTTCGCACAAACATGCTGGAAACTTGAATGTTTTTCAGAGAAGCAAAATATCTTCTAGACTGCCCGGAACGAAAGTGAGCAATTGGACTGTCTTAATAGTGACAAAATCCAATGCAATTCGATTAGAATCCGGATCATTGAATTCTTTGAGCTGAGTGTTTTAATGGATTTTGAACAGGCTTAAATCAACGACGTGAAAGGTACTTCAATTTTTCATGGCTCTGAGTCGGCTTTGCTCCTCTATTTTAACGATTAGTCGCCTAATTATTCACTTTTGATTCTTTAATGGCGATTTTTGAACTGGAAACAAATTATTGTAGTAGAATTATTTTATTCAGTAATGAGTTTTTGTATAAAAGATTTGACTTTGATAATTATTCTACCGTTTTTGCAGCGTTCATTCTACTGATTGTCGCGTACATATTTAGTTTTTTCTCTCTCTAAATTGATTACAATATGCCGAGAAAACCTTTTTCTCTCGATATTATTGAGCGTTACATAAAACACCTTTAGAAACAATTCAAGTGTTTATCACTTCTCTGTGCAAAAATAAATGAAAAAAAAACAGATAGCATTTCAAATATATATAATAACTTCAATATAATCTGAAGTAGAAACTTTTTATACACATTCTTGCTCAGCTTTTTAAAACCCATCGGAGCAAATCAACAGGCGTTTTTAGATAGTTTTATTTGAAACCACCAAAACGTATTTTAATAAAGTTCAAGATTTTATCATTTGTATATGCAACAATGTATACAAAATTAATTATGTTAATAATATCTTTGGGACATTTAATATAAACTCAGAATGAGATTCATACAAGTTTCTCAAATGTTGAGTCTTCTAAAACATTCTTCTTCATTTTTTAGGCGAGGCTTGAATCTATCGGATACTAATGGCTCAGCCGTCTATGGCGCTATTCCACATCTAGCTAAACGTAATCTTGCTCAAAGAGTTTTCACTTACTAAATATAAGCTCAAGTTGAGATCTATGAAACTTTTCCCAAATATCTGAGCCTTCCTAAGCCTAGCGGCTCCATCGCCTCTGCTTATGAGTACCGTGATATACCAGCAGCAGTGCGAGCAAACATGTAACATACATTGCTTTAAGTCAAAACCAATATTAATAAAAATGAGAATAAATATTACCATTAATTCGTTTGTTAGATGATTTTTTTCAATACAAAACAACAACAAACAAATAAATCAATATCTATTTAGTTCATTTCACTTTCAATTAATTTAAAATTCAATGGTAATGTTCTTTCAATAAATAAAACATTTGTTAAATAATCATCTTTCATTGAATAAATAGCACTAGCTATTTCATACATATTTCCATCTGTTATTAATATAATGGAAAATTTTATTTCATAATTAAGTATATCTGTTGGTTGAATATTACTTAATATAATAAATGCTTCACCGAAACGAATACAATCTTGACAACGTTGTGGTGATGTTTCATGTGATTTATCAATTATTTTTGGTGTTATAAAAAATCGAATTAATACATAAGCATTGTAATTTATTGCATTATTAATTTTATTCATATAACGTAAATTTTGTATATTTAATTTTATATTTTTTAATGGTGGATTATATTGAAAACTAAAAAATAAAGTTGGAATATTTGTTTGTTCATCATCTAAAGGACCAGAACCATAATTTGTATATGCATAAGTATTCGATGATGATGAACCATAAGAACGACCAGATAGTTTATTAGTTTTTGATGCATCTTGAATACCATCGGATGGTAAACTCTGTGTCATGGTTATTAAATTTTTACGTGATAATACTGGTGGATCATTTGTTTTAATAGAAATATCAGAGAATGATTGATGTGTTGATAAAAGTGAAGTATTTGTTGACGATGGTCGATAAAATGAAGATGACAATTTACGAACAGATTCTGATAGAACTGGTCGAAGAACTTCAAATCTTTTAGATAATAATGGATCCCATATAAATTGTTTAATAACACATATTGTTATAACAACAGCAAAAGCAATTAAACATGATAATGCTATATACGCAGATTTATTAAAATAAGCTGGTTCAGGAGTTGTACTCATTGCGAATAAAAAAAGAAGAAAACTAAAATAAAGAATACTTATGATGAACACAAGAACATTCACAAATTTATATAATAATGTCACGAAATTTTCAAATAAATTATTTAAATAATAATATTTCATAGAGATTTACTTGTATTTATAGTTTGGAGTTGTATAGAGACTCTTAGTTATAGATACTTCTTTCTAAGTATTTTGGAATATTATCAGATTTTCTTTTACATACGCACAATAATTCTTCGCAAACTTATTTTCTCTGTTAAGTGCTCGTACACACATAACATCAGTTTAATATCTAGTGGTTCATTCATCAAAAGAATAAGAAGACAAGTTTAGTCCATAATAATAACCATAATACTATAAATAGGCAGACATTATATTGATAGATGAACGTAAACCTACTTTGAGTAATATGAATGATGAAAGCAATTCTTCCGAAAATATGAATAGTCGATTGTAACATCTAATTTATCTTATTGCTTTCGAATGCATTTTATCATGCTGTCTGAAATAACTATCTTATAAAAAATTAAAATTTACAATCTCTCTTTTCCTTTCTTCTTCTTTTTCTCCTATATTCTTAGGTGTGTACGCGTCACATTGTTTTTTGTCTGAAAAGAAAAAAAAATATGGTCATAAAAAATTGCTTTTAATGCGGAACATAGGGCGGATAAAAAAGAAAATGTGTGATGCTACAACGCAGGAGCTTACATGTCAACTAACATGAAATAGTTTCCTGACAAGAAAGACGAATATATATATAACGTTTGATAATTGCACGCTCAATGCGCACGACTTTAACCCGTAATTGAGTTCGTGACGTTGTTCATAGTCTTAACTAGACGTCAACTTCAGTTTATATAGAAAATGAATGAGGATTGAAGAATGTATACACAAACAGTAATAGAGAAAAGCTGAAAATTTAGATTTATCGTAAATGTTCATTTAAGTGATTCGAGCAAATAGATTTTGTCTAATATTCAACATACGCAGATTTGATTTTTTTTTTTGTTATATTTAGTCGTGAGCAAAAGAAGGCGTAGAATCGATGGATAAAGATAATTAAGTTTGTCAAGTTTTCTTTTCTATCCTGCCCCTTCTCTCTCTCTCTTGCTCTTGTTCCGCTCTTCGTCTATTCAATTCCAGTCTAAGGACAAACCAAAAAATAACAGAATAAAGACTGACTAATGAAGTCAGAGAAATGATAATAGCAAAGAAATGAATGAACATGGATCTGTAGAATCACTAGATGGAAAAAGAAATTTGGTTTATTACATTGATAAAAATTTGTTATCTCTACCATATTAACAAATGTTCACGTTAATGATCAAATTTACACAATAAAAAAAAAAAAAAAAGAATATTGAATCAAGTGCGTTCTATTCAATTGAAATTTATGATATGAAATAATACAAGAATAGTATTAATCGAAAGAATCACAAACATAATTATGTATTACAATTTATTCTAAACTGATATTTTCTTACAATAGAATATATGAAATTAATAGTAAAGTTCTTATAAACAAAACATACACTTAACTCATATATTTAGATATAATTATAAGTCTTCATTGTTGATGACGTATTTTCTAATCTTTATCGTCATGTAAATCCAACAATGTCAGACATAAAATAATTAATGAATATTTTGAATATTAATTAAAATCAACTTTTAATCTAATAGTTTATTTTAGAAATCTAATTTCGTTGATACTCATTGAAGCGATGAGAAGAAAATTAAATCAGTTTTGTTGATGCAAATCTAATTAAATATACGCATGAGTATGGTTAGAAAAGATATATTTTAATGCTTGCTTTAAGTTCTAAATAGCACTACATAGACAACATGCATACCTTGTTTTAATATATATAATAATTAAAATTGTTATTAATAGAAAAAGAAAAACACAAACAGAAAATGTTCTGACGTTTGAATAACAAATCTATTTTAAAGATTATATCGAGATTATTTATTTTTAAAAGTATTTTTTTTTATAGCTTATAATGATATTCCAAAACATTTTTCAATATTGATTATCTTAAGAAGAACTCAATCATTTTGACTAACAGTTTCAAGATATTCTTATAATCAAATACGATCATCTACTTGTAAACATTATTTCAATTTTACGTCTTATATGATGAAAAAAATTAAAAAAAAAAAAAAACTGTTCTACGTTAGTAGAGAAAATCTGTGCGTCAAATCCTTTTCAACTTATTCTAGCCGAAGGATAAAGATTTTCTATACATGCATAAGATATGCCCTCAAATGTGATGGATCGTTTCGGGCGATTCTCTCGCAAGCTACCTTGAAATAAATCTCTGAATTCAATTAAAATTTAATTAGAAAAGAAAAAAAAAATGCTATAACTTGATAAAAATCATTTCATGATTAATAATAGTATCGAATACACTTCGTTTAACTTCAAATATGTAAATATGACGATACGACCTTGAGAGATCTGTAGAATGAGGTTTTTTAACACATAAATAGCGAGATCTTAAAATAAAAGATAGATTTCATTTCATAATTCTATCCAACACAAATTTTATTTTTTTCATTTTTTCCCTGTGGTACGATCTTATTTATTGCATGAAATAAAGGATTTTTACTACGATCCTTGTACTTTGAACTATAGTATATTAAAAAACACACCCACAAGGAAAATACTAATTATGCTCTCTAACAGCTTCAACGAGATAAGTCTGTTTATTCAAGTTGATTTCATTGCTAGAAAAGTACTGTTGTGAGTAGATGGTAATGAGTTATTATTTAAAATACTAATAGTTTATTATCGAATCATTCAAAGAGATTGTCGATTCAGTTTATAATTTCAATCAATTTACTATCAATCTAACACTATCAGAACCTACTTTTGCAAAATAATCTACGGAAACTATTTTTTTTTAAAGCTATTAATCTAATCTAACATTATTTTCATTATTTATCATACGTCATTACCATAACAGATGCCAAAACTATATCTGTAGATGACGCTAACAAGAATTAGTTCATTGATCAGTATGAATCCGGATTTTTTTTGTTTTTTTCGTTTTCTAAGAATTATTAATTATTTTATTGACTAAATTCAAGATAAAGTAGTCCTTTTAAAGCATTGTTAGATCGAGATCTGTTGTAATTTATTTCGCATTGATAATACTAAAAGAAAAACACAACTTCTAGGTATCTTTGACATTTATCTGACGACATTTTTTTGGCTTCGAATCCTTCTCTTTATGTAATAAGTGTCATAGGGAAAAATTTAAGACGAACATTGATTTGACATGATTATTGCATAAAGAAGAACATTAAATTTTCTTGTATTTAAAATTATCTTCTATTTTATATTCAAATTCAGAAAAAATTTTTTAAATAAATACGTATAATTTATTTTCTACTCAAACGTTCTTTGATAATTATCTTGACTACCAATTTTCTTCAGTTTAATAAGTAATAAATTTCATGCGCATGACAATTACGATTGTGAACTTTTTCTAACTTATATTAAACACATGAAATAGAATATTTGCAATAGTATTGGTCAATTTTTCCTAACAATGTATAATACAGTGTTAAGAAAAGCTTGTAGAAGAATATACTAAGCACAAATTTACATAAGATGATTTTACATATAAATACCATTTACTGTATTACTAGTTCTTTGCTTATAACTACGACCTTGATGTTACATCTTTTCCAAAATACTTCGATTTACACTGATTCAGAGGGATTGAAGAAGTACTACCTTTTCTTCACTCTTGAAGAAAAGAAAAGTATGTTTTACATGTAACGTGATGCTGAACAATTTTGAATAGTGTTTGCAGTAATTGCGACATTCTTGCTGTCATGAAGCCATAAATGAGTCGTGATTTATATCATGTATGGAAAATCGTCGATTTTTCTGCCGAAACTACACTTAATCATCAAAACTGAAGCAATTTTCACAACGCGAAGTCTTCATTGAATTATAGTTTACGGAATCAATTGATTGAAGTTATAAATTTCAATCATATAACAATATTGGTACACAAAATGAAATATTATATCGAAAAAATTGAAAATGAGAATATTTTACATTCTATACTTGACTTTACTATAACGATTACGTCTAATCCAAAACAAAATAGACAAGACTATATTTATTAAATAAAACACAACATTATGTGCAGAATTCCTAACTCTCTTTCTCTTTTGATACAAATAGTTTTTCAATCAAGTGAATAATAGTGAAGAAATTTGGAAAAATACTAAAAATGTAATTATTTATGAAACACTACTTAGTTAAATAATATCTAATATTATTAACTTAATATGAGACAATTAAGTTATTTATTAGTTAGACAGTAAAATACCATTTCTACAAAAAAAAAAACTTTGTGAAGAGAAATAAGCATTTCATTGCTTAAAGATGATCATTGATGGATTTTTATGTTGTTTATTATTTATTTGAGCAGCTTGCTGGCAAGACATTTACTGCAAAATCAGCAACATAATTGCCAGATGGTGAGTACTGAGCCACAACATAGGCTGTACATCCATCGTCACTGAATGCAATTCCAACTCCGAGTTTCTTTGTATCTTTCCATACAACTTGAGTAAAATGACCTGTTTTAGAGGAATATCCTGGCACTTGAAAGTTGTAACTTTTGTTTTCATTGTACCAGGAAGTTATCGGTTTAGTACCTAGAATGAATATTACTGTCGCTAATGAATCGATTAAATAGTATATCGTGTCTTACCGTTCATTTGTTTTAAACACTTTGAGTTATACGCTTTATAAAGATTTTCGCCAATATCATTTCTATTATCACTGTGAGCCAATGTGCCACTTTTGACAAGATATTCGGCATAGGATTGAGCTGATCGACTAAGATCATCATTGAGTACAAGTCGTGGTACACAGTGTTGTACTCTATAATTATTGTGAGCCTGAAGCATTTCTTTCTGGAATGTCTGTTGAATCTCGGTAAAACTATTTTCTAATGATGATATTAAAATTAAAAAGTCAGAAATACTTGATTTATACTAGAGTCAAATATTTTACCGGTATTGCCCGCTACTAATACCTTGAAAGAAACACTAGTAAAAACAAAAAATAGAGTCAGTAAATACCAATGCATGTTATCAATTTTCTTCGTAGATTGATATAAGACGAGAGACGAAATGTACAAGTATTTAAGTGACTGAAATAAAAAAAAACAACATACTTACTTTTTATTCAATGACTTTCTGCCTCGTTTCATCTCATTTAGGTTCCATTATGAAATGGTATTTTCTAAATATGTCATTATGGTGCATGCCATTAGTACTGCTCTCTTGAGCTAGAAAATAACGAAGAAAACAAAATAGAAGATCTGGGTATAGATATGTGTCGAAGTGAATACAAGTCATACGCACACTCACACTCATATACAAAGACGAAGATCGACATCTGTTGTTTTTTATTCAAAATTTTTGCAAGACTAGAGCTCATCAAATTCCTAGCATTTTAAAAATCTTCTTTGTATATTTGAAAATTCCGCAGCAGAGATGCTGTTGGGATGCAGCATTGCGTTCTTCGATTTTTATCTTAATCATATAACCACCAACTGCTAGAAAATTATAGAAACTTGTCAAAACGTTGGACGAATCAAATTTTTGATGGAGTTTGTTGATCTATTGTATGAACACAGTGATGACAGAATATTTTCTTTCAACTTCCAGAACGGTGAAAATCAGTGAAATAATTCATAAATCCGCTCGTTCGAGTACGATTTTTTAACACTTATCAATCAGATGTGGATGAATAGAAGACCCACATCCTAGATCCAGCAATGTTTGAAGGTGACTATTTCGGTTTCAGAAGCTTGAATAGAGTTCTGAGTGAACAAAAATTGAAATGTTTGGGTACTTTCCATGGGTTTCTGGCAATAAATAGCATTGAACTAAAGGCACAGTTTATTTTTTTTTAAATATGCACTCTTGAGACAATTCTGGTAATCAATGATAGAAGACCCAATATGAACAGCTCAAATTAGTACCCATAATTCACTTTAGCATATGAGCTTGTTTATTGAATTTTCTTTTGATAAAGCAAAAAATCAACTCAAAGAGCTCGACTAATAATTACTAAGGTAAAAATCCTAAATCGATATCGAATCGTTGCACTCGATTATTGTCACAATCGACAACATAAAGATTACCCTGTCGATCGAATGATAAACCATTAGGACCATTGAGCTGATTTGATTCTCTTCCTTGACCATTTCTACCGACAAGGATGTTTCCTTGCTTGGCCTCTTTCGACCAACGTATAATTCGATGATTCTCGAAGTCAGTCACATAGATAGTACCTAATTGATCAACAACTAATCCTCGAGGACGTGATAATTTTGAAGGATCATTTCCAATATTACAACCACCGATAACTTCAATACCTTCGGTTGCACCTTTCATCCATTTCATAACACGACGATTTATATAATCTGACACATATAGTGAATAATCCTTGTCGACGAATATGTATGTTGAACGATTGAACTGATCGAAACCATTTCCTTTTCCATTACCACCCGCTATAAGTTCTCCATCAGTGTCTCCTATTCTCCAACGTCTAACTTCATTCTTTATGTCGTCAGAAATATAAAGACATCCATTATCGTCCATTGTCACACCAAAACAATCTATATTCGAGATGATTATTTCTCCATTTGTGCCACCCCGACAAGGCCATCGTACCACTCGTCGGTTTTCTGCATCACAAATAATAAGACTATCAGTTTTTGTGTCGACAATTACATCCGTAGGAAGACTTAACTGATCATCTCGACTTCCTTGTCCGTTTCCTCCAGCAACAACTCGACCACTCGTCTCACCAAGTTTCCATTCCATAATACGATGATTATAGCGGTCAACAATATAAACGTTTTGATTATGGTCAACAAATAAACCGCATGGATGATTGAGCTGGTTAATACTATCACCTTGTTGATTACCTCCAGCCACAGTGAGACCATTCTCTGTCCATTTGGCATGACCATCAATATTGGTAGAACGTAGTGGTACTAAAATGAGAGAGAGAGATTCAAATTGACAGCGAATCCTGATTAGCCTTGCTTATGAGCTTGGATATCATCGAATAAGAAACATTCTTCTTAGGAATGTAACAAGAGAAGTAATTTTACAGTCTTTCGATTTGAATTAAATGTAGAAGACAGATAATATCATAATATTTATCTCAATATGAAAAGTTCTTCGTTCTCATGATGCAGTCTGTCTCACAGCACTTTAGTGATTGAAACAGCCGCAAGTCGAGTGAGTGAAATTTAGAATGAGAAACTTTTTATAAAAACCTGAGTGACAATGACATTTTTTCAGAACTTCACTGGAACTGTGAGATGTTTGTATGTCATAAACACAGTGATTTTGTGCTATTCGTCATCAAAACCATTTTATTCAACATGTTGTCGAATCTTGTCCGGCATGTCAATACCTAATCCTTTGATCAGTAAAGAGATACTCACAAAAGTTCTAAAATACAGTTAGAATCTTAAAAACGGCGTGGTGGACATTGTGTATTTACCCGGTTCAATAGTCTTCAGCATTGTCGAATTGTTTATCGAACTTGAATTGACAGACAAACTTAGCTGATTAGGTAGAGCTATCGTTTGCCATGGGGCCTCTGTTTCTTTTAGCTGAATGATGAACAAGTTTTCAGCCGGGCTCCATTTACCTCTCACTTTGAAATAAATACCAGGCATCAGAAGAACTTCATTCTCGCTCGGAAAATGAGAATGAGCTTTGATCGATTTACCATTGATGGTTTCTATATTGAATAAAGTACGTACGCCCGAACGACCTACAAATCGTTCCATGACTTCCATCGTGTCTGTACATGAACTGATGCCCCACCATATCTGATCTGTTCTGTATTGATTATTAACATCTCCACGAATACCACGCCAAATCATATCTTTGATTGATGGAAGTTTGTATAAGGCAGTGAGAAGAAGCTTAAGATAAAGAAACCATGGTATAAGGTCGATTCGTTGTTCAGAACGAAGTGTTTGATTAAGAAGTGTATAGAGACTAGGATGAGGCTTTTGCCACTGCATCGTATAAAGATGAATAGCGGCCGATTCATCTGGAGTAAGATTATCTTGTGGCTCACGCGTATTCCACTTGGCAGTGGATACCATATTGTCTAGATTATGAAGCAGGTGCCTCAATGGTCGAACAGCTTCTTCAAGTGGCACTAGTGGTTTCTTTTCATAGCCTTCAATTGGTGTCAAGGCTCGAAGAGGCTCTTTGTCAGCGTCAAGAAAACGAGTAGATATACGACTTTCGGTCGTCATGAATATTGAGTTTCCTAATAAATCGAAGAGCTATATTGCCGACAAACAATATTCTTTTTGTCAAATTGTTTCTTTGTACAAATGTTGATGATTGAACAGATTAGATTGACTTTTACAAAAGATCAATCTTTTTATTTTAAAAGAAAGTACAGTTTGAGTTTATAGACTACCAGATAAATGTCAAAATCAAAATATTTATCCAAGTAGTCAATACACTACAATTATCTAGGAATCAGATACTAAAATATTTTCAATAGACATTACATAATGCAAGACTGTCGCAAAATATTGAAATCCTGCGAACATACTAACCAAAGTGTATCGTAACGGAATTATCTCAATAAAATATTGGATATATTAATATATATTTTGGTTCTCATAGTAATACTACATTATCGACAAAAACAATGGACCAACCGAAGATTCTTTAGACCAAATATTTTTCGATAGAAATTCTTCAGTAAAAATTGTTTTGTTTGGTAAAAAACACTATAACAATTAATACAGCCTCGTGTTTCTTTTTTTACCTACTCTTACTTACGCAGCAGCTTCGTGATAGAAGATGAAGAAAACTGAGACAGAACGAACGCAAACGACAGAAAGAGAAGAACGAAAGAATGTAAATATGAGTCATTAATGCATAGAATATGTTATTGATAGACTCGATAACAAATTACTCTTCGTTTTTTCTTCATCATTGAAATCTTGTATGATACAGCGAGTGCTGGCTGAATTCTGTTAGAAGAAATCGACTATGCAGTAAATTGTTAGGAACGTCACGAATGAACACTACATGAGTAATTTTCGAACAATTAATAATAACAAGATAGAAAACTGCAGTTTTCATCTTTGGACAGAAAAGATAACCATTCATCGAATCATATAAGATTTATTTTTCTTTTATTTTTGTCCAGAATTTTTGTTGAATTATTTTAAAAATTATTAAGCTTTTGAGATGGAACCGAAAATGTCGATTTCTTTTGATAATTTTCTCAAAAAATTGGGTAAAAACTCAATACGAAAACGTCTATAAATATTGAATAAATAAAGTTGAGATCTGAATCTTGTGCAAATTCATAGATCTTCAATTGACAGTCATCTTTGTGTGAGCAGTTTAGCATATTCTGGCATTGCCTGGCTTCCTATTCATTGTATCGCAAGGAGCAGGCAAATGGGTGCCAACATCATCAACGCCATATGTGTCACTACTGGTGGCGTCCGCACTCACAACCACCATTCAGGATTCGTTGTAACTTTACAACAAGCTAGTACATTGATTCTTCTTAGATGTAGAAGCACATTTATCTATAGTTATCACTTGCCTGTTCGGCAAAAGAGTCAAAGCATCTTATATTCATAGAAGCAAACAAACGAAAGATGAAAAAATAATTTACAGAATACTGCGGAAGAATAAGTAGTGTTAAACGAGATCTATTTTTGTATTCCGCTTTACTCAATTCATATATGTTTAATTCTGTCCTATTTTCAAATGCATGCACCGTGCAGAAATTAGAAATTCAAGAAAATCAAGTGGGATTCAGTGTTTGGAGTACCCACAGCAAGAATATATATCATCATGTTTCAAGTCTCCTCATCGTTGAAATTCTTTCTTTATTAGCATCATCACTTCTACATCATCTCTTTCTTCCTAGCTTAAATGATGCTGACTTCAGATTCGAACTTTTTTTGAACTGATTCGCCTAGAAACATATTTTGACAAAACTATTCATGCTTCAAGTACAACTCGACATGTTCTATCAAATGAAAAAATCTCATCTTGAAGGTACAGGTCTGGGTATATATGGATATGAGATGTCAGTAGATGAAAATGAATAGAACACACATCCTACATCCACTTTTACCAAGTAATTCACAGAAATCATACGCTACAATTATTTCAAATAAACAAATAGAAAACTTTTTGAATAGAATTTTCCATTATGTTAAGTTGCATATTTTAATATACAAGTGTAGATTTGCCATTCTTCTATCTAATACGAATATCAAAATAAAAAATTCTTCGTATTAACATATCGTTTTCATGTGTTTTTTTTAGAGNCATTCATTATATCGATCAATTTCTCAATGAGAGAAAAACACCTTTACCTTGTCTGACTGAATTAACAGTCAATTATAATAATTTATTAATCGTCACAGAAAACTTTACAAGAGATACAATACGGCTTAATTGTATGAAAATAAAAAAATTAAATGTTGGTGAAAGAATTGAACATACAAAAGATCTCTATGTTTATTTTCCTTTGTTAGAATGCTGTTTTTTTTCTTACTAAATTAATAAAATAAATAATGAAATCATATCAATTGAATCATATTGAGCAAGAATTATTCATTATAAATGCTTGTTAACTCTGGAATTTTTTTTTGCAATAAATCTTTAGGTTTTGCATCTTGTATATATGACATATCAAGAAAGATTAATTTGTTGTTTACATGTATTTTGAAATAGTTCAATAAATAAATGATTGTCTATTCATAATCAATGATATATAATTGTAAAAATGATATATTGTTTTATATGGATTATTTAAGGCAGTCAGTGCAGGCATCATGCACGAAATTATAGTGAAAGGTGATTAAAAGATGCTTGTGCGAGGTGCTATGATGTCCATAGAATTTTGGAAAATAATAATATGGTGGTATGAAATGTCTTTTTCATGCATACTAATCGAAAGGATAATTTTCATTAACAACAACTATAGTTGATTCTGTTCTGCATAAAATACAAATTGATTCATTATATGTTTTATTGAAATAATAAAGTTTACTAGAATCTATCCAGCTAATCTGGAGGTGGAGTTTGACGTTCACATGCAACGAATATTGTAAAGATTAGAAAAATTAGAATTTATTGAAGGTGTGATTTTTTTTATGGTATGCGTTCTTGTATTGTCAATCTCCTATTTATATAAAGTATGTCAAAGTTCTATTTTTTACTGTATAATGATGTTTTCGTTTTTTTCTTGAGAATGCAATTAGCTGTTTTAAATATTTTGTTACAAATTTATATGTTATAGCACTTATTATAATGTGTTATGCTTTACTAAAAGATAATAACATATTCTTACGATATTTTATCGATTTATCCCAAAAATACATTCAACTAACAGAAATAGATGTAATGCTAAAATCTTGTAACGATAGATGTCAGAAGATATTGATGAAAAATTCAAGACAATATAATTGGAATGGTTGCATCTTCTTATTTCTGCGAATAGACTTTATCCAATATCCCATTCCATATTTCTCATATATTTCGAATACAGTTTAATTAAGTTTATTTTCCGATCTTGTACAAAATCTCGTGCAATGGAATATAAAAAAATAATATTTTTTTAAAGTCTTGATAGAACAAACGTATTTATATAGAGTAATTGCTTTCTACTTATATAAATACATCAATTATTGGTTTTTAAGTACTGAACTATATTTATTTTATTTAGGTTTTTAAGATGCAGCGTGGAACTTTAATACTTGAAGATGATTCTAAATTCGATGGTTTCGTATTTGGAGCATCAACTAATGTTACCGGTGAAGTCGGTAAGATTCTATTAATTGATATCTTCTTTTATTATGTATTTTTATTTCTATTTAGTCTTTCAAACTGGTATAGTCGGTTATACTGAATCATTGACTGATCCATCTTATTGTGGACAAATTTTAGTTCTTACTTCTCCGCTTATTGGCAATTATGGTTTGTTTCTTTATATCTTAATCTTTGAATATTTATTTTATATTTAAAATTCTTTAGGTGTACCCGATGAAAAAGCTATTGATGATTTTGGTATACAGCGATGGGTTGAATCAAATAAAATTTATGCATCAGGATTAATTGTTAGTACTTATACAGAACAGTATAATCATTGGAATGCTGTTGAATCTCTTTCATCATGGCTAAATAAACATAATGTTCCTGGTCTTTATGATTAATCATCTTCTTTTTTATTGCTTATAGTTACATAATAGTAATTATTTTGTTTTTAGGAATTGATACACATATGTTAACTAAAAAACTTCGTGAACATGGAACAATGCTTGGAAAAGTAAAATGTTCATATTTTTTTGTAGTTTTTTTTTAAACTAAATTAATTATGAATAGATTTTTATGAAAGGAACTGATCCAACATCAATTCGATTTCAAGATCAAAATAAAACTAATCTTATGATACAAGTTTCTATTGAAGTAGATAAACTCTTCTCTTTTTTGATTGTTTATTTTTTGTTGAATTATTAGAAACAACGTGTATTTAATCCAACAGGCAAAATATCCATTGCTTGTATTGACTGTGGTCTTAAAAATAGTCAATTACGAATTTTATGTCAACTCGATGCAAAAGTAACAGTCTTTCCTTGGAATTATTCTGTTAAACAAGATGGTATTTTGCTTAAAATAGAAATAACAGTTTACATTTTCTTTTTCTTTTTCTTTTTAGAATTTGATGGTCTTTTTTTGAGTAGTGGTCCTGGTAATCCACAAACTCAATGTCGAGATACTATTGCAACTATAAAATCATGGATTGATAGTGAAACTATTAAACCAGTATTTGGTATTTCTCTTGGTCATCAAGTAAAAATTTTAAATAAATTTCTTCTTTGATTATACGAATTGACTTTTAGTTAATGGCTTTGGCTGCTGGAATGAAAATAACAAAACTTAAATATGGAAATCGAGGCTATAATCAAGTATCTTTTTAATAATAATTTTCGAATATATAATAATATTTATTTTGATATTTTCTAGCCATGTTTATTAGAAGGAACTCAACGTTGTTTTATAACATCACAAAATCATGGTTTTGCTGTTGAAAAAGTCCGATTTTTACCATCGGGTTGGAGTATTTTATTTACAAATCAAAATGATCAATCCATTGAAGGCATTATTCATGATTACAAACCATTTTTTAGTGTTGAATTTTATCCTGAATATTGTACTGAACCACATGATATAGAAAATTTATTTAAAATATTTGTTGATGTTGTTCAATCATATAAATCAATTAATGTTAAATCATATTTAATTGAACAATTAACAAAATGTTATATTGGTGATAATAAATCACCAAAAGCATTTCATGATCAAGGAAAAAAAGTATTGGTATTAGGTAGTGATATTTTAACTTTTGGACAAGCAGGAGAATTTGATTATTCTGGTAAATAAATAAGATTTTCATATATTATTTTAATTAATTTTTATTTTGAAGCAATACAAGCAGTTCAAGCATTAAAAGAAGAGAATATTTATACTATATTAATCAATCCTTCAAATATTACTCTAGATCAAACATCAATAGATCTTCCGAACAAAATATTTTGTGAACAAATAACAGACACTCATGTTCTACCAGTTATTCGAGAGGAACGTCCTTATGGTATGCTACTTAGTTTTGGTGAACGAACAGCATTACATTGTGGTATTCGTTTACATGAAGAAAATATGCTTGCCGCATATTTATGTAATATATTAGGTGAACAAAATATTTTCATATGTTAAATTGTTTTTTTTGATAGTATGAATAGAACACCGATTGAATCAATTCAAATTACTCAAGATCGACATTGCTTTACAGAAAACATGACTGATATTAGAGAAAAAACTGTACCATATGGGACTGTTAGTTCTCTTAAAGAGGTTTGATGAAAAAGATTTGAAATATGATCTCAAATGATCTATTTTAGGCATTGGAATCAGCTGAACGAATTGGTTACCCAGTTAATGTTCGGTATGTAAATATTCTGAATACTTCTTTTGAATAGCTGTTCTTTTTAGTGCTTTTTTTCCACTTGGTGGCCATAAATCAGGTGTTGCCGATGTTCGTAAAGAATTAATTGATTTTGTTACTTCAGTCTCTGCTCATTCACCAAAATTAGAATTAATAATTGATAAATCACTTAATGGTTGGAAAAAGATTGCATATGAAGTGGTTCGAGATCAATATGATAATTGTATTGTCGTATGTAATATGGAAAATATTGATCCATTATCACTTCGTACTGGTGAATCAATTGTTGTTGCACCAAGTCAAACATTATCAAGTGATGAATATAATTTATTACGAAGTGTATCAATTAAAGTTGTTCGTTATTTGCGTATTATTGGTGCATGTAATGTGCAATTTGCATTAAATCCATTATGTATTGAATATTATATAATTAAAGTAACTTCAGGATTATCTTGTTCATCCACATTTGTATCAAAAGCAACTGGTTATCCATTAGGATATATAACAGCTAAACTTGCACTTGGAATGAGTTTAGTTACATTAAAAAATAGTATTACAAATCAAACATGTGCTTGGTTCGAACCAAGTCTTGACTATGTGACAATTAAAGTTCCGAAATTGGTAATAAAAAATTTTATTCGACGTTCAGATGGAAGTAAAATTTCTAGTAAGTTATAATGATTTTATTTTAATTAGTAAAAAGTACTAGTGAAGTTATATCGATTGGCAAATCATTCGAAGAAGCTTTTCAACAAGCATTGAGAATGATTCATGAAGATGTAACTGGCTTTGATCCATTTTCAAGAACAGTTACTGATGATGTAATATCAATAAAAGCTTATTTTATATTTGATTTTATTTGTTTTTATTCTAGGAATGGGTGTGGGTGTGGGTGTGGGTGTGGGTGTGGGTGTGGGTGTTGGTGTGGGTGTGGGGGTGGGGGTGGGTGTGGGTGGGGGTGTGGGGGGGGGTGAGGGGGGGGGCGGTGGTGGTGGG